TGTAATGATATACAGGGCGTTCTATTTTAAAAAATGGAATTTTGGTCTGTAGCACCTACACCAAACACCCTGTATATTTAAAAATTATATCAAAATATAGCTCTCATAAACTCCTAAAACTTTTGTATGAAACATTTTTGTGTATCTCCTTCAACAAACCAGATATTGCCTGTCACATAACATGTGGGACACCCGGTATACCGAATATGTATTTTCTTGGCATTACATATAATACATTTTCAACCAATGTGGTTTAAGGTATCGGCAACAATATCACGTAGTTATCACGTCTCAACAATAGAGCCAATTCCTCAGAAGCAAATCCATATTTGAATTGGGATTCGACTAACGCAAAATAAACTTCTCTCCATGCTGAACAAAGTTGGATTGCCAAGCAACGTTCATCTTCATTTCTTTAAAGCATATTCATAAAGATTCTAAACGAAAACAAAATCATAAAGAGAATAAAAATATCTTTCAATCAAAGTAATACTCTGCCTCTTTTTCTATTAAAAAATATAGGATGGCACTAAAGGAGTGGGAGGATAATATTTCCTTCACTGTCGCTTAATCCAAAAGTAGAAATAATGAGAATGGGAATCTAAAATATGAGGTTGAATTCGAGTGTATAGTCGTGTATAGTGTATAGCCCTCCTATCTTCCATATCAAACCAATTCCCTTATTTTTTAGTATTGGGAGATCCTCGAACAAACCAAAATCCGGCTCTTCTAACAATCAGCATCCTCTTCTTCCGTTGGCACAACGTGGTGGCCGCTAGAATAAAAAACCACAACCCCGACTGGAGCGACGAAGACGTCTTCCAGAAAGCGCGCCGTATAGTCATCGCAACCCTGCAAGTATATTACCGGAATTACTCGGAAGAAAAATCATTCTCATCGCTTCTTCCTTCCAGAATATCATAACCTACGAGTATATCCCGGCTTTCCTAGGGGAGAACCTACCGAGCTACAAAGGGTACAATCCCGACGTGCATCCAGGAATAACGCATGTTTTCCAGACAGCAGCGTTCCGATTCGGACATTCTTTGATTCCTCCCGGATTGTATAGGAGAGATTCCAGGTGTAATTTCAAAACGACTCCGATGGGGTACCTCGCCATAAGGTTGTGTTCGACTTGGTGGGACTCGAATGTAAGTAACAATCATTCTAAGTAGGTCATGAACGACTCCTGAAGCCAATTCTTTTAAAAGACAGAAACGTCTCTGCAGCTTTTACTGAAAGTTTGCATGGACCGTCTTTGATATACTTGGCGAATCATAAATGAACATTACAAGCATCTGAATGGAAACGACTCAATTGATTTTGAAAACAATTGATACCAAGAGATGAATTCATCTGTAGAACGCCTGTTACAATAGTTAAAAATTTGTTAGTATCGTTGAACCATGCCATTGGAATACATTTGCCATTCGGTTTCAGGATGTTTTGACTAACAATTCCATCGAAGAACTTCTGATGGGAATGACTTCCCAACTAGCGGAACGCGAAGACTCCGTACTATGTTCCGATGTCAGGGAGAAATTGTTCGGTCCCATGGAGTTTTCCAGGAGAGATCTAGGAGCTCTCAACATCATGCGCGGTCGAGACAACGGTCTGCCTGATTACAACACTGTCAGGTCGCACTACAACCTACCGAAAATTAAGAACTGGACGGACATCAATAAGAAGTTGTTCGATGCCAAACCCGAACTACTGAGGTTGCTGGTCGGAGCCTATTCGAATGACATCGACAATGTGGACGTTTACGTGGGGGGTATGCTGGAGAGCTATGGGAGACCTGGGGAATTGTTCACGGAGGTGATTAAAGAACAGTTTGTCCGGATACGGGACGCGGATAGATTCTGGTTCGAAAACGAAGCCAACGGGTAAGATATCCGTATTCTGAGTTTACTAGACGAATATAGGAATAACTAACGCTGTAAAGTATTGTTTGAGATTTTAATATTTATTCTATCCGTAAATGTTCACTGTTACTTGTGAAAATTTCACTAAAAACGTCCCCACGCTGCAATTTTTTTGAACTTTCATTTGTTTGGGTTTTTGCAGAACTTTTTATACTTCTTAGGTGACTATTTCGTTCCAGTTATGTGCTATACCTGGTCATCTGGCCATCTCTATTCAATACATATACAATAGAATAACGTGAATTTTTATATTTCATGTGTTAGACGAGTCCATCTCTGTATCTGTAGAGTAGGGAGGGTGAGTGTAGACCCACAACACGTAGGCCACATGTGACCTATTGTACATCCTCCCGAGGAGTGGTCCTCCTAAGTCATCGTCCATTCTGTCCTTTCCAGGAAGTTGGACAGGTCACTAGGAGGCATCTCCTTTATATTGGCAGGTGTAGGCCAAGACTCGCCGAACAAACACTCTCTTTGGCAACCTTGAGGTGTCTCACGGTGGCCTCCGCGAAGGTTTTGGAAGGTGCAGCGACATTACTGTCGTTGCGCGGCTTCTTCAACCTTCTTGGGGTTCCCTCCGTGGAAGTGCACAAGTGAGGGAGCTTTCCTACATGGGTAGCCGGTTCGTTGCCTTTATTCAAGGCGAAGCTTTTGGCGCCCGCCACAGAAAGTGCCCTTGCTGTTGGAGGTGGAGTGGGGGAGGAGGAGGGTGCACTTATAGTTGCTGCCACTCCTGCCTCCTTTGCGCTCTTTCTCCTTTTGGCTTCGGCGCCGCAAATGCGTTTACGCCTTGGCCTTTGTATTACATAACGAGGTGATCTGCTAGGTCCAACCTCATTCCAAGCGGTAGATTGAGGTGGACATTTCTGTTCATCCCCAACCACCGCCTTAGATTGAGGTGAGCACTTCTGTCCAGCCTCGGGATTGGTTTTTGTTTTTGTTGTTTCTGTTTTTGTGTTTGTTTCATTCATGTGTGTTCCCACGAGTAGCAACGGAAGAGTTGGTCGCCTCTGGCAGAGCCCCGCATTACCAGAGGTAGGCTGATTACAGTGAGGTTTCGCCCAATTCCCCAAGGGGATCGTTCGTAACCAAATATCATCCTGCGGCCGTTCAGCTGTCGGCACAGTTCCTTACACCTTAGCTTGGGTAGCTGGTCCACGGTGTCATGTTTTGCAAAGGCTTTTGACGAGTTTTAGTTCCCCTCACCCTACTTATTTCTGCCACTGACCAAGAGTCCGGCGACGCCGTCCGTATGGCCACATTGGCTTCCCAGACAGGGCCTCCAGTCCCTTAGCCGTTTCCCTATCCTCCACCTGGGGACGCGCTTGATAGGTAGTCCAACCCACGGGTAGACGAGTCCAATTGTCCTTTTTTTTATTATGTCAATATACGTGACCCTGAAGTATAATAAAATTTTCAGCTGTATTCATTGCTCACTTTGTCTGTGGCAGCCGCCAAGGTTAGACGTGTTTTCAAGAACTCGGCTTTTTTAGTTTTTGTAGAACGAATCTTCGAATTGATTAACAACGTAAACAAAACCAACCCAAATGCAAACTTTCTTCATCACGCATGTCGCATCGGTTTGTGGGTCGCTTGAATTTATTTTGACCCATGATAGTATTAACTGTCCTAATATCAATTTGAATTCTATGATGTAGAAAGCAAATGAAGTGTGCATTGAATGATTGACGTCCTCTTCCGCAGGACATTGTTTTGTAATATGTAGCGACACTGGGTCAAATTCTTAACAATGTAAAGACGATAACTTAGTTTAACTCATTGTCATGTTGTGTCATTTCAGGATATTTTCCAAGCAAGAAATAGAGGAAATCCGAAAAATAACTTTGTGGGATGTGATCATCAACAGCACGTCTATACCTCCAGAAGCAATCCAGAAAAGCGTGTTCTATTGGGGAAAAGGCGATCCATGCCCTCAACCAGAACAGCTCAATATTTCCCTGATGGAACCTTGCAAAATGATTGGTGGATACGATTACTTCGAGGTACTTTCCTTATATAGATACATATTTATTGAATAGAGATTTGAAATATCGCTCTAAAACGTCAAAACTTGTCACGTGACTGCAATAAAGTCACATGCTCGTAACATTGTTAACGTTTACGTATTTTTTTGAAGAATTAAGAGTTTTACTAGTCGTGTGCGATTGGCTCAGTGTATAAGTACTGCAAACGTGAATAAATACCTGGAAAGGTATTACTTTAGTTCATACACTAGTACTTTACTCACATTGAAATTTTCATTTCTGAATTCAGAAGAACAGAAGTTCGCGTTTTTTGCAAAAAATTGACCACCGTAAAATAATGAATTCTTGGCAATTTATTTGCTATGATAAGTGCAATTTTCATCAGGAAAATTCGTAAGAATCGTTTTCAAATGAAGTAGAAAGTAAATTCCAAGTAATTGCACATACATTACTATTAAATAATGTTTACCAAACACCGAAGTCTCCCATTGCGACATTGTTTATCGTTACACAAGGCACTGCACTTAATTAGTGTTGGTTATCAAATTACAACTGTTTATTTTCAATCACAGTTGATTGCAGTTGCAGCACAGTTGATTCTGCAACCGTGTTAGGAATCACACGTTAAAAGGTAAGACCTCGTTATCCCTTAGCGCGCACAAGTTTCTCAACTTCTGAGAGTTGTCGTTCGTATGGGGGCGACAGCTGATTGACGGAAAAACAGGATTTAAACAGACAGAATGAAAAAAAACATATATTTTAGGATTCCCATTATGGAAAGTATTCAATTTGAATACAATCAACGTCGGTATTCAGTATGCTGAATTATTCTTATAACAAAATCGTGAACATTGGTTATTTCTTTTAGGGAAACGAACTAGTGTACATCTACGCCTGCGTGTTCTTGGGCTTCGTGCCAATTTTATGCGCTGGCGCAGGATACGGCGTGGTCAAGCTACAAAACAGGAGAAGAAGGCGGCTGAAGATGAAGCAAGACGAACTACGAAATGGTGACGTGAAATTGCCAATGGACACCATGATCGTCCAGGAATGGTTACACGCCAACCACAAGAGAGCCGTGAAAATAGTATTCGGTCCCGATGCGGCAATCCATGTCGTCGGACGAAAAGGAGAGAAGTTGAGGACCGTTAACTTGAAGAACTCCGACAGTGTGGTAGTCGAGGAATCGTTGGACGTTACAGCGAAGAAGAAGCCCATGCTTTTGATCCACGTTCACAGGGACCACGACTTGGTCATAGAAGTGGATTCGATCGGATCGAAAAGGAAATTTCTGAATAAATTGGAGCTGTTTTTGAATTCGAACAAGAAGAGTCTCATTTGCACAGAGGTAAATCTTATATATAAAGAAATAATACCTGAAATGAATGATATTAAAATGTTTTTACGACTATATAATATTGTACGGTCCGTCCGGGCATAAAGACAGAAGGCAGCTTTTGAATAACTTATAAATAACCCGTATTACGAAATTGAAGTTATGTATTTATTTAAAAATATTTTGTAAGGATTCGGTGATAAATTGCTTTTTGATGTTTTATTGTATGGGTATCAAGTTTCTGTAAGATAATTCCAGAATCAGAAATGTGCCTACCATCATCCTCCGTTTCGAGGATAATATGCTCTGCTCTAAAAATCCATGAGCAACCGATGTACATCTCCATCTGACTTTACCTTCACCTGCGTCTTCAAAATTCGAATATATCGCAATAATCATCGGGATTTTATTAAATATGTTTTTTCCAACTGAAGGTATAGTATTTCCAATACCAATTGGAACAGCACAGAGAAGGAATTCCCGCCTCGACATAGACGTCGGCATATTATTTTTCAGTTATAGTTTTTCAGTTACTTATTCTTACAATCATAGCATGAAAAAGTTATCTCAACTGAATTTTTCCACCATGGGTAATTATGAAAAACTTCGAAATTTAAGGTAGTTGATTTCCTAGTCGAAAACTCTAAAATACAATGAAAACACAAATAATCACACCGAATTCTCGTCCGACATATATTTACAAAATAATAGAGACCAACAAAATTGCTAGAAAAATCAAATTCTTCTTCGCTATATTCGGATGAGGTGGAATCATCATCGGGTTGAATAACGATCGGATTTATGGAACTTTGCACATAATATTTTTTCTCTTCTTTTATAACATGGGCCACACATTTCTTCTACACATCACTATTACCTACTTCATTCACCACTCGCCTTATATTGTCAAGCACTACAGCATTCAAAGTCGGTGACTGATTACATTTCCGCAAACTTTCTTTCATTGTGGCCCAAACCATTTCAATTGGATTGAACACACAATAGTATGGAGGCAAACGTAAGAGAATATGACCATGTGTCTCACACATCGAATCAATAATATACTCTTTTTTCAAAATTACGTTATTTTATGGTCGCCAGTAATACCTTTTTCGTTGGAATCTTTTCGGGTATTTCCATGTCATGATTTCGCTTGAAATCAACAATATCTGCTTTTTTTGTGTTATTGTTTGGTATTGTAGTCAGTAACCGAGAATGATACGGAGCGTTATCCATAACAATAACCGAGTTTGGAGGAATATTTGGGAGAAGCTGCTCACTGAACCAGGTTTCGAATAAAGCTGCAGTTATATCTTCGTGCTAATCAGCAGACGAATCATTTATACTTTTGGCCGACATAAGCAAAACGTTAGGTACGAAACCACTTTCATTTCCGGCATGCAAAATTATAACACGTTTTCCCCTTGAAGAAGGTGTGTTCAAAGCACAATACTTGGTTTCGTCTACCCAGCCATATTTGACAACACCAAGTTTCGTCGAGGTAGATATATGTCTGCTGGATTCTCGGTAGCTTTTCATTCGCCTCAAATATTCTTGTCCGAGTTGAACAATGCGTGTCGATTCCATTATGACCATCCGATTGTTCAATTTTTTATATTTGAAACCACAAGACAATAAGACATCTCGTAGAGTTTCTAAAGATTTGTAATTGTAATCGGGATAATCGACGATCTGGGCGACTAGGGGCCACAGGCAAGAAATGTTTATGGCTGTACTCTTATTTTTATTACCGTTCCAATTTCAGATAGTCAGGGAAATCATGCTAGCCAAGGCCGAAACTAGACAGCGTCGCGAAAAGAAACTGGAGCACTTCTTCCGGGAAGCTTACGCATTGACTTTCGGTCTAAGACCTGGCGAACGAAGAAGATGGTCCGACACTACGGAGGATGGGGAGGTTGTGACCGTAATGCGAACTTCTCTTACCAAAAGCGAGTTCGCTAGTGCATTGGGCATGAAATCAGACGCGGTATTTATCCAGAAGATGTTCAACATCGTCGATAAGGACGGAGATGGAAGAATATCTTTCCAAGTAAGCGCTTCGAACACGATCCATCGATTATCTTATAAGATTGGTTGTCATTTCAGGAGTTTTTAGATACCGTGGTGCTTTTTTCACGGGGAAAAACCGAAGACAAACTGCGCATTATCTTTGATATGTGCGATGACGACAGAAATGGAGTCATTGACAAGGAGGAACTTTCTGAAATGTTGCGATCGCTGGTGGAGATTGCAAGAACTACGAGCTTGTCCGATGATCATGTTACGGAGTTGATAGACGGGATGTTTCAGGTAGATTTCGATAAACTGCATTCACTAACTGAGTTCAATAATATGAATGTAATATAATTTCAGGATGCCGGTTTGGAACACAAAGACTTCCTCACTTACATCGACTTCAAACTGATGATGAAAGAATATAAAGGAGACTTTGTAGCTATTGGGTTGGATTGCAAAGGGGCGAAGCAAAATTTCTTGGATACTTCAACGAATGTAGCTCGAATGACTAGTTTTCACATCGAACCTAACGTTGATGTGGAGAGAAACTTCTTTAGATTGAAATGGGATACCCTCACAACATTTTTGGAAGAAAACAGACAAAACATATTTTATTTGTTTCTGTTCTATGTCGTTACAATACTTTTGTTCGTTGAGAGATTTATACGTAAGTGTTGAAAACATTACTGTTCAATTGCGAATTTCAAATGGGTTTTCTGTTGTCAGTTGTTGAAATTCAAATGCATCACATTCTGATTATTCGAATACCATTCGGTCTTAGCACAGCACCCTCTACTTTCCAATGAGTCACAAACTTAACTGAATGTTTCGAGTGTATTCAGAATTCATTTATTATTTTTCAAAAGAGGCAGGAGTTTGGGCACTAAATCGCAATATATGACTACAATTATCCTCCGAAATATCAAAATAAATTTGTTGGCTTGAGGAACATACCAACTTTTACAGCCGTATAAATCACAATACAGGAAATTACTTTTCGTCAACGTATAATTGAATACTGAAACATCTCAACATTAGCCAAGCTTTTGGTCCTATTGAAATATCAGTTCAGAGCAAACACAATTATGTCTCCAAAATATTACGGCGATATTACAATGTGAAGTAACAATGTGAAGTAACATCTAACAAATATCGCTGTGATGCACCATTGGACTTTCTGCATGTTGTTTTCTTGTAAAAGTAATAAATGAATTAGCATTTGCCCGATAACCAACCGAGTTGGTTGAAAAATTTCGGACTAATCGGGCATTTTCTTTATCAAATACCTGTTATTGTGACTTCAGTTTCCGTTCTCAAACCAAAAAAATCGCTTGTAAAAAGCGCTTCAGATTCATTTTCTTTTGCAGATTTCCTAAAGTCTGATCCTTAGAAATGATTTATGTTAAAAAATCCATGGCGTCATTTTTATCGAAGGAGGTGCATTTTCAATCTGACACCACCATATGCGCAAAAGTACATTAAAAGACTTGCTACTGTCATATATACAGTAAATACGGTCCTGTGTATAATAATAATGGTATACAAACTGATCCACTTGTAAAAAGGTATTGCAAATTCAAAGATGAGGTTACTGAAGCAAATGGACTATTATATAAAGGAAACAAACTCATAATTCCAAATCAAATGCATAAGGAAATTCTAAATAAAATTCATTATGGCCACATGGGAATTAATAGATGTAAAAATAGAGCTAGGGAATGTTTTTTCTGGCCAAATATGTTTAAAAGAGATTGATGACTTACCTAGTTTCTGATTGTATCACATGTAGGGTCTTTCAAAGAAATAATATTAAAAAACGCATACCATCGATATTATACACAGGACCGTACTTACTGTATATGTGATAGCTACTTCGAATAAATGAAAATTATAATGTTTTAGGTAATTTCATTAAATATCAACATTTTCTGTGTCAACTTATAATCAATGANTTTCATTTTCTGTGTCAACTTATACTCTATTATTTTTGCTAGGAAAATTGCCAATGCCTGTTTAAGGGTCATTTCCACCATTTAAAAGAGTTCATTTGACACAACTTTTGTATATCAATCCTCCGTTAATAAAAATTAAGTTAAAAACAAATCCAAAACTCTACTTCTCGTGCCAAAGGGAAATAAACATTAGAATACCATTTGGCTTAAACACAGCACCTTATACTGTACAACGAGTTATAGATCTAAAAATTTACTAAAAATTGACGATTTCCGCTTTTTCAATGAAAACTATAATGTTTCAGATTATTCCTTCATGGCTGAGCACACGGATCTACGACACATCATGGGAGTGGGCATAGCTATTACCAGAGGATCGGCAGCTTCACTCTCATTCTGTTACAGTATTTTATTGTTAACTATGTCCAGGAATCTGATCACCAAGTTGAAGGAATTTTCGATACAGCAATACATTCCTCTAGACACTCACATCCAATTTCATAAAATCGCTGCTTGTACAGCCTTGTTCTTTTCAATTTTCCATACAGTCGGTCACATAATAAATTTTTATCACGTTTCTACGCAACCGATCGAAAATCTGAGATGTTTAACAAATGAGGTGAAATTTCCGTCTGATTACAAGCCAGGAATTACATTTTGGTTGTTTCAAACCATTACAGGTAGTTGTTGTTCTTTAATTTATAAACTTCTATGACTACTTTTATGTTCCTTCTAGGTATTACTGGTGTTCTGTTGTTTGTTATCATGTGCATAATAATTGTCTTTGCACATCCAACAATACGGAAAAAGGCCTACAAGTTCTTCTGGTTCACCCACAGTTTGTATATAGTTTTTTACGGATTGTGTCTGATCCATGGTTTGGCTAGACTCACAGGAGCACCTAGATTTTGGTTATTTTTCATTGGTCCAGGTATCATCTTCGTTCTTGACAAGGTATTTTATTTGAAATATAGTTATTTCAGGCATTCTAATTGAGCTTTTTCAGGTCGTCAGTTTGAGAACTAGGTACATCCCGTTAGACGTAATTGAAACGGAACTGTTGCCCTCAGATGTGATCAAAATCAAGTTCTATCGTCCGCCAAATTTGAAATATCTATCCGGGCAGTGGGTTAGACTGGCCTGTACCAAATTCAAGTGTCACGAATTCCACTCGTTCACTTTGACTTCTGCCCCTCATGAAAATTTCTTGTCTTGTCACATAAAAGCACAAGGTAAACTGAAAATTAATTCATTGATTATTAATGTGAAAAAATTACATTGAGCGACATACCGGCATCAATAACCATTCTCCTCGCCATAAGGTTAATTATAAGTAGGCCCTAGGCATGTGCTCTGGGAAGAAGCAATGAGCCAGGAACGACAGCCTTTTGCATTTGTCCGACCAATTATATTATTAATATTGCTTTGCTGACGACAGCACACTTGTCTCGTCATTCCAATTGAATTCCAGGTCATCGTCTGCGGATGTACATCTTCACTGGCAGTAGGAGGTTGCATATCTAAATGAGGATCTAGAGGTGGTTTCGAATTAGGTTGAAACTAACCAGGTTCAATTCAGTGCCACGAAGACCTAGGTATCGATTTTCTCCAAAAAGATAAATGTCACGGAACTGGATAGAATAATGTCAGGACAGACAATTCCGCTTTCTGGGTGTTAAAATGGACACCAATATGTCTTTATACAATCATGTCGCTGGAATTGCAAAGCCTGTTTGGAACACTGTTCCGAACCAGAAAACTGTACAATCCCCAGCAAATTTTGTTGCTTTATGAAGCTCAGATGAGACCTTTGGAGTATTGTTCACATGTATGGAGCTCTGCCCCTAAGTATAGCTTGGATTCCATCCAGAAAAGAGCCATCCGCCTGATTGGAGACACGAACATCACTTGCAACCTTGGTAGTCTGGAGCATCAAAGGAAAGTTGGAGAGTTGTCTCACTTCTATAGATACTTTCACGGAAGATGTTCAAGTGACTGGGCACATTGGATTTCACCATGAGTAGTACATATTAGAAATACGCGACGGACTGTAGCTACACATCGTTTTGAGGTTCAACTCAGTACACCTCGAACTTCACTGTTTAAGAACTCTTTCACTTGCAGAACTGCGTTTGTATTGACTTGAAACACTGTGAGTGGACTGTAATTATTGTAATTCTGCTGTTTGACTGGAAATTAAACACTACTTCATGAAAGCATGCGTCTATTATTGGTACAGACTAAACTTATTTTCTTCAAAGATAATTGAGACCACTTTGATACATTTCTCACTAACAAATCGTTTTTTATAAGCACTTAAGGTGACGAAAGGACCACAAACATGTCGTCGATCACTGTGGAGACTAGCGGCGCACTTGGGACAGCGTTTATGTGGAATAAACTTCCTAAAAACGTTTTACCAAATGAATTTAATATTCAGCAATTCAAATCCAACGTTTGATAAATATTTTGATTTATATTTCACTTTGAAACTAATTGTACAGGTCCCTGGACGTGGAAATTGCGTAACTATTTCGACCCATGCAACTATAACCCTGAAGATCAACCGAAAATACTTCTAGAAGGGCCTTTTGGAGGCGGGAATCAGGACTGGTACAAATTTGAAGTTGCGGTTATGGTAGGAGGGGGAATAGGAGTCACTCCATATGCTTCTATTTTGAATGACTTGGTTTTCGGAACTTCAACAAACAGATATTCTGGAGTTGCATGTAAAAAAGTAAGTGTAATATAGATCATTTGTCCATTTCCTCAATAATCGTTTTCGGTATTGTGTTTAATCCATAACATAGCCACCTTTTGGTGGTTCACTATTCTTTTCTAGATCAATAGAAGTTTCCAGTGTCAATTGACAGATTGTTGAAGTCGTTTGACACATTTTTGAAAAATTAAATTGAAAAATATCACTTAACATATTTTTTATTTTGCCATAATAAGTCTCCCTTTTTGACAGGATAATCGCCAGTTTTTTTATGTTTTAGGTATACTTCCTGTGGATATGTCCTTCCCACAAACACTTTGAATGGTTCATAGATGTATTGAGAGACGTGGAAAAGAAAGACGTGACAAACGTTTTAGAAATTCATATATTCATAACACAGTTTTTCCACAAATTTGATTTAAGAACAACTATGCTGTATATATGCGAGAACCATTTCCAAAGACTATCAAAAACATCTATTTTCACGGGATTAAAAGCAGTTAACCACTTTGGACGGCCTGACATGACATCGTTTCTTAAATTCGTCCAAAAACGTCATAGCTATGTATGTTTAGAACTATATTATACATTTTTTCTAAATTATCTTAATTTTAGGTGAGCAAAATTGGAGTTTTCAGTTGTGGGCCTCGACCACTGACAAAGAGCGTCATGTCAGCCTGTGATGAAGTGAATAAAGGACGAAAGTTGCCTTACTTCATTCACCATTTCGAGAATTTTGGGTGAGAAGTGGATTGATAACAGTTGGCTGTATATATGTAAACACAAAAACTATTAGAATTATTTAATAGCCTTTTATATCTACACTTAATAAATTATTTTTCCAATCTTTCCGTGCATTATTTGCAACACCTTCAGTGAAAAACTTCAAAACAGTGTGAGTCAAAAAAAACCTACTTGGACCACATCAAGTGCTTTCGGTGCTTTCGAAACAACAGTTTCTAGTGTTTTTCAACTTGGACGACAGTCCATGTCACCATGACTTTTAGGTTGGATCGACTGAACCTCTTCTAAAACATACTTTTCAAAATTAACCAACTCTTTTGGTTTCTTGTACGTGATAATTAAAGTGTTGAACTTATGGGAGAAAGATACACTGGACTGTTCCAGCTCCAAGTTCAGTCGATTCAATTCTGGAATCACCAGCTTTTTATAATACTTCTTATTAGTTGTTCTAACTATCAGACACCTTTCTTCGGGGTTAACAGTAACAGAATAAGTGTCCATCGAGTAGGGCAAATTTCTTATTCGCCATTCCAAATTCAGTCTAGTATTTCGACGAGAAACGATGGGTTGATTCGAACTTTCAGAGATTAGTCGTTCATCTGTGGCATAAGTTGGCTCGGGGTCTCCAATTTCAACTTCCCACTGGTCTTTACCTCTCAAACTTTGCTTACATTTCCAAGCTCTTCTTGTAAGTACGCCGGTGTCCATATTGTATTCTTCAACCATTTCTTTGCCATTTTCAAAATCATAATGGATTTTCTTCAAATTTTTGTCAACCAAACAAGATTTCTTTGCATGTTTAATCTCCGATATCCAATCAGTCATTTTCAAAAATTATTCAATATTTGAAATCTTTGTTTTGATTACAATATTTCAAATTTTTGTTTTGACACTTACAATAAAAAATTATTCACTAGGTCATTTATCGCGAAAACCCATTGATCTACCGGGAATTGAACTTCAGTTCTTGTTGCATTTTCGAGCCAGAAATAATGACGTCATGATTTATAAAACGTTAATTGATTTAGTTCCCGCATCTATGAGCATGGTTATTATTGACTCACTGCAAAATATTTTTCAACTCAACTAATTGTTTTGAAAAGGTGACTATAACATTGGAACAAATAGTATTAAAAACGAATTGAACAACTATTATCCGAGTATTTGGTACTACGGTTTCTTATAATGAATTTAAATATATGAAAGTACTTATAATGCATTGTTTGGAACCTTTGATGTAGTAATGAATATTACCGGAGTTTTATCCCAATACCAAACCGATTATCTTCAAAAGAGTTTAATCTTCCTCTTTAAGATGATCACTTGGTGATCGAAACACGTGTCGAGGTGTTAAAAATGATGATTTGTTGTTGGTTGAACCTCCAGTAATATTTATATGATACGTAATTTACATGATGAAATCATGTAACCAGTTATGTATTATCAAATCAGAAATAGTATTTTAATAATGAGATTAGATATTCCGTTACCGCATCGTTTTGAAATTTATGGAAAAATACAATCAATTAATTGTAAATGGTGATAGAAACCTTCGTAATTGTCTTTTTCCTATATAATACTCAACTTTAAATGCTCTTTTTGTTCCTATAAGTGATACTCTGTGGCTAAACACAGTGTGAATGCTCTGTTATATGAATACATTTGGCGAGTCCTAAAACTCAATGATTGCTCATAGATTGCTTCAAACAATAGACACCCGCTAACGTTTCAAATGAACCAGTAATGAATCTGTTGGATCAGTTGTTAAACTCATCGCTGAATTTAAGAACTCGGCTATACTATAAAATTCCTCAGCATAGAAGATCAAACAATCAGAAGGGGCACTCGGTGTCGGCGCTTTTGATCTGAGGAAGTCAATTTCGGTGAACTACGCCATTTTGGATTGAAACAAGGCATCAATATCGAAGGACCAAAAGTTGGGTCAAGGAAAATAAATAGTTTTGGGAAAACTGATGGATCTCCAAAACTGAACTCGTGACTGTGTGTGCCTTAGACAGAAACTAATCTGTTAATTACCCTTCTGCCGTGGCCAAAATTTTATAAAGGAGGTGTTCTGTGTTTGTTCACTACAACCAATGAAAAATTCGTCCTGAGAAGATGGCATCCTGTCTGCGCAAGAAAAATAGTCCACATGTCTCGCGCTTGACAGTGGAAGTGACAATTCTGATTGCTCATTCTTTTGTGCCCTCGGTGAACCATTGACAACCCTGTAAAATGATGAAGTGAAAATAGTTAAATAGTGGAATCCAATAGTTTTCTAAATTTTCCTCTATGTTGATTTTTTGATCCCACAAATATTTTGCATAGTCCTGATGAAATGGCATCCGCGCTGGAACAGTTTGTGAATACAGTTAGGAGTTTGTCTTCACACGGTTAATAATATCTTCCTGGATTGGACATAGTATGTTAATTTAAGGTTATAATTTCAGGCAATTTCAGGGAGCTATGCGAATATTTGAATAAAACTAGTGAAGGACTGCTCAAGAATACTCAACATTTGGACAATGTGTTAGAGACACTAGATATACAGCAACATTCTCTAGGCATATTGGCTGTATTACGTGCTAAATTCAGTGTAATTGTAAACAGCCCGGATAATCGTTTCACATTAGCACAGGATTTCATTCAGAATTGCAATGGAGAACAAGTCAGATTCGCCCCTGATATATGTTAGTATATGTTGAGTAATTCAAATTATTGTGAAGTTGGCACTTGCCCATCATAGTTTGGCATTAGGTAGTAACTAGTTGGATTGTTTAGCTGTAGATTCATTGCTATTTGTGATTACTGATAAGTGTGAAATGATATGAAGAACAAATTCAATAATGATCTTCCGTGCAGCTGAATTGCAAAAACGAAATTTTTAATTCATTTTTCATCAAGATTTTGCCTTATTTCAAACCTGCTGTATACAAAATTGTTGAAAATTTGTTTAGACGAGCATTAGGGATTATTCAGCTGTGAAAATCCAAATTCAAAAATACTGTTTAATCCTTTACAAATTCTAAATATGTTTTATAGGAAACTGTTAGGTCTGTTTGAAAAATTCTATAAAATGATACGGTTAATAAATACAATGACAATTATAAAATTCAATTATTTGCTCATGACATCTCTATTTTATTGGTTAAGATATGAGAAGTGCCTTAAATTTAAAAATCGAAGTGCTCAAGATAATTCGAAAAATGTGCCGAGATTTAATAGATTCTAGAAAAAATCTAACTAATTTGTTAGCTATATAACTGGAGGCTATGCATGTTGCAACAGTTTAGGTAAAATTTCTTCAAAATACTATTTTTTTCATTCAGGGTGTTCCTTAATGATATGTAAATATTCAAGGATCTCTATCTATATGAAAAAATAATGACAGGCTACTATATATACATTTTTGAGTGAAAATAACGTCAACAAAACAAGATCTAGTTTAATACAGTTGAATAATTTTTGGACAATACAAGGGATTTAATATTTTTGCTCAATACGGAATGTTACAGAAAGCTACCTTGTTTGAAATTAAACAGGATTCAAAATTAATTTTCTTTCGAGAACAAATGTTTAAAGAACCAGTAGAAAGTATCAAAGTTAATGGATGCCACTGTTGAATTAAAAAATTCTTTTTGTATAAAAATGTGCAGCAGTCACTGCCTGCTAATTCAAAAAATTAAGTAAGATCGAGTTCAATACAATAATTTTCTTCAATAATTTTTCTGAAAAAAAAAACTGATTTTTTTTCTCAAAAACGACATATGGAAAAAAAGTTGGGACATTTTTTATCCAAAATTGATTGAGGAGTTCAAAAATACATTTTATTTGAGAAAAATTCATAAACTCTTATTTTTTTCTTGAAAATATCGAAATCAATTCTCGTACCCTCGCCAGTGTTGAAGTTGAAAATTATTTTTCAAAAAATATAAACTGTCACTGCTTACCAAATATCACTAAAGAATCCGAAATGGTTTCGGAAATATTATGTAATTTCTATTTTGTTATTTAAACTTTATCAAGCTCGTATTTCCAACGGAACAGTTTTGGACCATAGTTAATATCATTAAGAAACACCCTGTATATGCGTTTTAATGTTTAGGGATCCTCCACATGAAATTGAACACATCAAAAATGTAAATATGGCGAAAAGAAAGTGTTACCGTTGCCAATATTTTTGATGTTTAAATTTAAGTATTTGTTTTAAATATTTATGTGATATGTTTATGAATTTTTTCAATTTAACAAACAGTAACTTATCGTTCAATACATCAAATGTCTTTTTGATCAAAGTAAAGTACAATGGATAGAGAGGCGATTAGAGTTTTTTCATTATTCAACATATTATATATCTCAGTTCACCCAAAATAGTGATCATTGATCTAAATATATTGTCCAAATCCGTGTCAAATATTAGGGAATCCTTAGTAGAAATATATCTAAGCCTATCAAATTGACTTTGCAAATTGATATTTCTATAGTTCCTCTGAGACATTATTTGCTTTTTTAACACAAGCCAGAGAGAGAACAAATAGAATAATGTTCAGAATTCAAAGAGAGGAGTACGTAATGGAGTTTCATAAGGATCAGTTATTGGACCAATTTTATTTATACTTGTTAAAAGTGACTGAAATTACTACACTCGTAAATAAATGTGACTCACCAAAATGTTATATTAGGCAAAAACTGTAGAAAAGCTAGAGCTCACAATTTAAATACTGATATAATTGATATATCTTTTTAATAATGCAATGATATTAAACATGATAACAAAAGTACATCTGCTAAAAAATGTAGAAATGTATTATGTTGCTGATTATGTTCAAATTAAAACTCATGTTAGGAATGTATCTCTTTCAAATCCATTAAAGTACATTAGATGATTGTAATCTTTGGGGAAAAGATGTAAAATAATATTTATCTAGCCCATAAGGTAAAAAATGGAATATTCCCAAATTCAAGCAAATAAAAGTGATTCATATATTTAAAAAAAGCCTATATGATGTAATGATGGAAATTTGGTAGGCGAAACCTCAGTGTAGTTTTACAGTTGGTGGGTAGAAAATATTTTTTTTATATTTTGCTATTTCTGTAATAGTGGATCATTTTAGATTCAAATGTTTGGAAAAACTTCTGTTATAAAACAAGCGCTGATAGTTTTTTTGTTACAAATTTAATATTTATTTTTTATAGTTGCTGAGTTATGTCATTCTCTCACAAACTATTTAATAGATCAAAGACAACCACTGCAAGGAGTGTTATTATTAAAAAAAGCAATTTCCAAGCTGCGATTATTCGATTCTCAACTCACATCAATACATGCAGATCTCTGCCAGCTTTGTCTGGTATCAAAATGCTTCAAGCCAGCTTTAGAAATACTAAATATTGATATAACTGGAATATGTCAAGAGGTATGTACTTATGGTGTTTTTGTGTAGTATTTTTCATATCACGATATAATTTCTAAACAAAATGGAACAACTAACTATATTTTACTGTGTTCTGATTTCTTAGCAACCACGGTTTGAAGTTTTTAGGCCTGACGTTTCGCCTGCAACTGCGGCAGGCGTTATCAAAGATGATGCGGCACTGGTCCAAGTGATCTTGACTTGGAAGTGGTCAAGGTTTGTTCGCATTTATAATGGAATTAGCATCTTTGGGAGAATGTATGTATTCTGAAGCGCCGATATCCATGATCTCTTTCGGAAGGTTAAAATTAGTTTTGTTTATAGGCTTCTATGGCCTCAGGGCTACGCACATTCACAGTTTCAGCTGTTTAGCATGTTTAGTTTGTTGGGGAGAGGCATAAAAGTTGGAAGTGTTTTGCGTGTTTGGCAATTTTCTGCTATTGAAAAAAATGGATCAAGGAATTTTCATCCAATTTTGTGACAAAATTGGAATTAAGTGCTCAAAATTACTCGAAATTTTGACAGTGGCATATAGAAACTGATGAATAAATGAATATTTTTTGAGAAAAATTTAAATTCACTCATGTAGCCACGAATGCCTGAGACAATGTTAGTATCTTCTGGGAGATCATGCAAGTCTTCTTATGGTCAGTAAAGCCCATTTTAATGCTTCTTTTCGCAGTTCCGATATAGACAGAGCCAGAACTACAAGGTATTCAGTGTACTCTTTCTATTCTTACTATTGTTTGAGTGGGTTATAGCACATGAAGGGAAATGAAATGACACTCTCTACCAAAGTCTCAAAAACCCCTTTTTTGTCCCTGTTGAAATATCAGGTTGGTTTTCTGAATACTTTACGTCCCAGTCTGCCATTTTTTCCACTAGTACATTCAGTAAAGCCATTAATTTTTTCACTTCCTTCATGGTGAAGTGGGTTCTTCTATTCCAGCAATTCAAATATTACGGAAATTTCTCCAGTTCTTCCCCGCGATAGTATCATCAACATAAAGTAAAAGTATTAGTTCTCCATCAGATCATATGAAGTATGATGCAGAAGTAAAATTTAGGTAATTAGACAAAAAAGTGTACAATAACACAGATAACAAATAAGTAAATCTGAACTTTAAGTATAAGGTACAACACCAACAAGTACGACACGTTAAAAAAAACATTTGAGATTGACTTCAACAAATTGTGGAGATGAAACAAATAAGAAAGAAAAATGTCAAATTTCACTTGGACTGTAAACTTGCAGAGAAATATTCATTAATTGTGTAAAAGGCTTAATTTAGAAGTAACTGTTATACAGTTGTTTCAGAATATACTAGGGTGAGTTTTTTAATATTTCCAGGTAATTTATTGAAAACTTAGATTCCCGTTGCTGCTAATCCATGTGAGGGTATTTCAAAGAAATTACTTCTGGTATCATAATTTCTGATTCAGTGTCTTAATGGAATTAAAGTTTATTTTAACATATAGTTGTGGTTGGTAGATGCAGATAAGGACTACAGAATAGCCAGCTCTTTAAATAATTCTTTACAACTAGTTATTCTGTTAACACCGAAGATGCATCAAATCGCCCTCTAGTACAAAGATTCTCTGACATTCATGTGAGCAGCCACAGGCTAGTATACCATACGAAATGACGGATTGTATTTGGGCACGATAATACATGGGTGGAACAACTGTACTTTGTAACTGATATGTATGGAGTGGCTTATTCTCAACATCACTACATAATCTTGACGTAATACAAAACACACTGATCAAAATCGCCTTGAAGAAGGATAGGAGATATTCTACAAAGTTACTCTACGAACAAAGTGCTTTGTTCAAAGTCAGAAAATTATACGCTTACCAATGTTTATTATGGATTTGTAGTAACCCCACTAACATCATTACACATAAATATAATATGCGAATGACCTCCAACCAAACAATTACAATACCACGCTGTAGATTGAGTCATAACCAGAAATTTGTAACTTATTTTGGCCGAAATTATACAATGAGCTGCTACTCCATATAAAGAATATCAATAACTACTGTAAATTAAAGAAGGAACTGAAAATTTTCATCAGAAATCATTGTGATCAATCGCAGGATATATTTGAAATTATTTGAGCTGAATTACATGCTCTCTCTCTTCTTATTACCTCCCTCTAGCCATCATTCTCCAATTGCTGTTTTAAACCTAGTAAGGTAGACAGTAATATATAACCAAACGACCTATTTTAGCTTTTATGTATTTATTTTATTATATAACACAACCAATATCAGTCTGTAACAGCCACGACACATCGCAGGGGAATCAAATCATGTAGCTGAATGATTGAATGACAAAATTACATACTTACTTAAAATGGTAATACATAGGGGCAATTTTCTTATATATTCCATCAATTTGTATTTTCCAACTACAGTTTTCAGATGAGTTTATTCCTAGAGATGTTGTTGACTGTTTAAGACAGTTTTAATTATTTTAATTGACAGTTTTAATTAATAAGCTATGTCCAGGTTTCTCCGAGACAGGTGGAAAATTATGAAAACAGATTTTGACTTGTTTATGATTAGTGATTATTCAAGAACCAAGCACTTGCATTGCTGAAATCTTAACATACCGTAGCCTGTAGCTATGTCGACTGCCACTCCTTCTTTTCACTCCAGAGTTTCCCATCCCACTGACAATATGTTGACGTCAGGTGGTCATATCTTGAGCAAACAACCCACTGATGAGTTGCAGGTACGAAAACAAGCAGACGTCTGACTACCTTTACCATTATAAATGCAAACATGCATGAACCACTTCCAGTGTACATATAGTACAGTTCTACCACATTGCCGTATTGCCTTTGATAATATCTGCCGCACTTGCAGACGAAACGTCAGCCCTAAAAACTATTAAGAAACCGGAAAGCAGCAAATGATTTATAGACACGGGTTGTGGAAACCAAAATGTTCAGTTTACTGATTTATTTCTTTCAGATTAACAATCCGAATGGACCTCACTTCGATTCTAAGTATTTTTTGTTGTATTATTATTATGGAGGAATGATATATTTAGCTGTTCGTAACTATGATAGAGCCCTGTATTTCTTTGAAGTTGCAATAACAACTCCTTCACAAGCAGTGTCTCATATTATGCTGGAGGCTTTCAAGAAATATATTTTGGTCTCATTACTATTACAAGGAAAGGTACAGTATGTTACTTGAAACCTGTTCGAAATGAAATTATGTTGAGAATTGCATTAAAAATGTTTCTCCGTTCATTTTAGATTCAGATGATACCTAAATATGCCTCGCAGGTGGTAACAAGATTCATGAAACCGTTATCCCAGCCTTATTATGAGCTAGCAAATGCTTTCACTTCCAATAATACCACAGAGTTAAATTTGGTACTTAATAAACATAGTGAGGTAAGTTAATCTTTCTGTTTGGAAGGATGCAACCTAAGTTGATCTGTAGTGTACTAGAACTAGATAACCAAAGCTCTGTTAGAGATACAAATCAATCTTCCTCGTAAATCACAATGGAGATATCAAACTTCACGTAACATTAAAAAAAAAAAGGAGATTTTACAGATTGGTAGTGTATAAGGTGTGTTATATGCACCTGCATTCATATCTCCGCATTGGTGCTATTCTTCGTCAACCGGCCCATCGCATTCTTGGAAGTAGTCCTTATTTGTTTGAACCACACGCTCTCAGCGGTGCTTTTACATCTTGAAGCAGCCCTTGGACTGCATTGGAATGGTCTTCAGGTCGCATTTGTCGTCGATCCGTTTCCTTTTCAGCGTCCTTTTCAATTTTGGGAACATCCAAAAGTCGCAGGGAGCTATGTCGGGACTGTACGGAGGCTGGCGTAGTTGTACAATCTTGTGTTTCGCCAAAAGTTGCTGCACAATATTCGATCAATGCGCTGGCGTGTTATCGTGGTGGAAAAGCCATTTGAAGCTTCTTCTTTTTATTATAGCTGGCTATCATCTGCTTTGCTCTACTCAAAATGAACATTTAATGTAGTTACAAATAAGAGTGGTAAAAAACATAGAAAGTTTTAATTCTCTTTTCTTCATTATCATTTACTACCACGTAGTAACGGCTACATCGATGAATTTATTGAACGTTTTATCTCCTTGTTTGTTCTTTATGCGGTTAGAATGCCTTAGTGCAGGTACTGCAGGTCAATTTGCCTGTATTTGGGTTAGATCAGGTAATATACTGGATTTTCTCTAGGTTCACTGTTTCTAGAAATGTTAAGGCCTGTTGTGTTTTGATTTGTATTTGTTCCTTGATAAGTGAATTATAACTTAACCTTATAGAAATCTTTCATAAGAATTTGTGATAAAATAAACCAGTTCAAAACACTATCACATATTGAAGACACTAATTCTAAAGATCCAATTCAATTTAATGTGGAATAAATAACATATCATGGAATATCATTATTCAGGTAAATTCCGAATTTACTAAGTTGAATGAATCTGACTCTTCAAAGAACTCAAGGAAAAAGTAGATTTGGGTAATTAATTTGTGCGTTAACGGCAGCAAGCTGGCCAACAAATTTTTCTACTTCTAGATAGATACTCCACAGCGAAACTGCACGTGAAGAAGCTTTGAAGCTCAGTCTGTAATCTGAAAAGTTTCCGGCCTACTAAGACACCAGGCATTTTTCAGACTTGTTTTCATTTTTCAACAAAGTGTCCTTTCAATTTCAAAAATTTCTCCCAGCGATGCTCCCTCTGTAACCCTTCCAAATATTCGTTGTTCTCTACGAAATAATTGTTCACCAAGGTGATTGCCTCTTCATTTGAGGAAAATGTCTGTCCTCCAAGCGCAATTTCTAGATGAGGGAACAAAAAGAAGTCACTTGGGGCTAGATCTGGTGAGTAAGGTGCATGGTCCGGCAGTTCAAACCGTAATTCGTGCATTTTCGCCATGGTTGCCGCCTCGGTTCCCCCTTTGCAGTCCATTGTTTGGACTGTATTTTTGTTTCGGTCGTATAATGGCGTATCACAGTACAGTAATTAATCGGCGCCAAAACACGGATTTATTGCGCCTAAACTGCGTCAACAGCATTGGAAATGTTCATTTGAACACGTTTTTGATCTAACGTGAGCAAACGCGGCACCCGACGCGCGGACAGCTTTTTCATATCTAAACGTTGATGACAAACACGTTCTTTTGACATGTTCATAACATTTGGTATCTCTCTCACTTCAATTCGGCGATCTTTTCGTCGATAGTTGCAGTTGATGTACGTCCCGAACGTACATCGTCTCCCAAGCTCTTACAGCCACGTTTAAATCTAGCTGCTCAAAATTTCACTATGATAAATATTGGTGCAGAGTCCTTATACAGAGAATCCAACTAATCTTTGATTTGCGTAAGCGTATTGTCTTTCAAAAACAAATATTTAATGACAGCTCTATACCCGATTTTGTCCATTTTCATAAAAACACTCACATCAACTCACTCAAAGGACCGTTACATAACAACTGCGCCTCCAAAATGGCTGACTTTCTCTATTTTGGATGGCAGTTGCTTCCTATCGTCAGGCGCATTTGACCAATGCTCCTCCTGTTGGTTAACAGGAGCTTCTTTGGGGGGCGCAGCGGTCTTGTTCGAAGCAATGCTGCCACCCATTTTTTTTTCAACTACTTTTTTTCAATATAAAAACAATTCTTGATTGATAAAAACAATTTGGTTTTTATGGAGTCGCCTCCTGCTTGGGAGACCTTTTGGTTTTTTTCCACATATACAGCCCCCTTTACGTGGTTATCCGAACCACCCCGGCCTGGATACCGGCGTGAATAAAGAAGGCCCTTTATTCATCACTTTTTTTAATGACACTCACACATTTCCTTAATCAACATAATGGACTGGCACGACACAAACACGGAGTCCCACGATAGCACATGGATCTTTGTCAATAAGAATATATTTTCTTGAGCAATAAAGTATATTGATTGATTGATTACCCTCTATTGCATAATACCGTAATGTATCATTCTTGAATACCGCGACAGTACAGTATCTTGAAATTGCGCTTCCATCTATACTTCTAAAAGTTTAGACTTTTACAAGTACCACAGATATGTACATTTCACAAGACCCTCCCATGATTATTTCATTTCATTGGTGTTAAAAGAAAAATACCATTTAATTATTTTATTTGATGTACTGTCATTTATTGAGGTAGATGAAATATTCTGGGGAAGAGAATTTTACTTTTTACTTTCTTGATACGAAATGTTACCGAACTTAAACAATGCTTCTACAATAGAAACTGTAATCTTTGTTAGTTTCTGTGGTTCGAAATTTTATATTTTTTCCAGATATTCGCTAGAGACCATAACTTGGGACTCGTGAAGCAGGTATCGTCGATGCTCTTCAAAAAAAATATACAAAGGCTGACCAAGACATTTTTGACTCTGAGTCTCTCTGACGTGGCTAGCAGAGTGGGCCTTTCCAGTCCATCGGAAGCTGAAAGTCATATTTTGCAGATGGTGAGATACTGAATATACGACCGCCTGTGGCATGACTGATCTCTAACGATTCTCTTTCAGATTGAGAGCCAACAGATCTTTGCCACGATCAATCAAAAAGACGGCATGGTTGTGTTCCGAGACGAGCCGGACAAATACAGCGGTCCGGCAGTACTGAAAGGACTCGAAGAACAAATGGCTCTCTGCATGGAACTAGATAAACAAATTTTAGCTATGGATGAAGAAATTCAGGTGAATCCTCAGTACGTAAAGAAGTCGGCGGGACTGCAAGACGAGGAACAACCAAGTAAAAGTACCTACGCTATGTAATCGATCATTCAGGTCGCCATACTGCAATTAAGTTATTGTTAAGAGAAGAAACTGAAATAGTGTATGTACAGTTCATTGCACTCTTCATATTTTTAATTAAAAATTGAATACCTATTTAATTATATTATTTGATTTGCTAGGAGTATTATTGGGTTTCTCCTTGAACAGTTTCTACTTGAATTGAAATTCGTGCAGCAGATCAGTGATAGCACTATCTAAATCATCAGGTGATGATTTAACATGCAACATCGTCGGCCGTGCTAGAAATCGCACGTTGAAAGTTGAGACCTCGTTTATTATTAGCTTGCACAGGTTTCGATTTGTTCTAGTTACAGAATATTTCTTTGTCGTATAAAGAAAGAAATTGTATTGAATAAACTCACATGGCATGTGTATTTGATGCTTTTTTGATAAATCAATCAAGCTTTTCGTTTTCAATGGTAGTAAAACATGATAGAAATATAAGGAAGGTGTATACAAGTAGAGTGCTCAGTAAGAATATCTTGTTCAAACCATTTTGAATTTGTACAATTATCAGTATTGCTCTCATATTATCTGGTGGTCTGTTATATAGATTGACTAAGATTAATGTCAGAATATAAATATTTCCAAGAAATATTCATTATATATAATTTTTTAATATTTTCACTTGACTCACTAGTTTACCCACACTTACTATCCTTTTGTCAAGACTGATCTCCAAAAACAAATAGATTTGTAATCTTCATCACAGGACTGAAAATAATATTGTCAAGCGATGCCATCTTCCGACAACTTCTGAACTATATTGTGTACTACACAAGAGAGACTGAAACATGCGCATCTATGTAACCACTATACTCTTTTGTCATTGCAAAATATAGACGAGTCGAATCTACTTACTAACCCGCCATAATTTGAGTTACGCACGATCCTACTTAATTTGAGCTGGATTCTTCTCACTCGAGTTCGGACTGGCAATCGTCGTACATGAATGAAACAAGCCCTAGTTTTTCGATATACCGTTGAAGTTAGTTGTCAGCATAACACTTGTTGATTGTATTATATCTCTTATGATGTACTGTTTGGAACCTTTGGTGTAGTAATGAATATTACTGGAGCTTTTTCTCAACACCAAATCGTTATTTTTAACACCTCGACACGTGTTTTGATCACTAAGTGATCATCTTCAAGAGAAAGATAAACTCGGTAAAGTCCTCAACTGTGAGTGGGTCTCGTCTCAGAGTAACATAACAAAAGACAACTGGGTTCTGGCTATCTGGCTGAAACTTGTCGATAATGTCGATCAAATCCACAGAACTCGTGAACATCAATTGTATGACCAAAAACGCATTCTCTATGGTTCTATGATTGAAAATGAAATAAACCTATAAACAACGTAGTTACGTATTTCTGAGTTCATAAGAAAACAAAGCAGTGTTGTCGGATATCAAAACGCGATAATAATGGTAAATAGTACGGTTTGATCTCCCAAATTATTTCCTAATTTCGAGAAAATCTACATAGAGAAAAGCTAACTGTTGGCAGTGGAGATGAATATCTTGTCGTTATCACTTTTCTATGCTCTGAAACAATTCATGGGTACGAACAAAACATGGGCAACTCCATATTCATATTCATTATTTCCGGTTTGTATAGTTTAACTTTTATTCTAAATGTTAAGTTCATAAAATTTCTCACTTTTTATTTGTTCAAGAAGAGTTAAAACTTATGAGTAAATGTTTGAGTGAATCGATGAGGTAGGTTTTGAAAAATCAAATAATTTTGTTATTCTACTCCAATTGAAAGGGGAATTGATGAAAAATATAATTTTTTTTCGTAGGTATCCTTTGCCCTTCCACTGGTGTAGTGAATACAATCTGAGCAGTCTATTTCTGTTTGAATATTACTAAAGTTTTATCCCAACACCAAACCGTTATTTTTAACACCTCGACACGTGTTTCGATCACCAAGTGATCATCTTCAAGAGAAAGATCAAACGAGTTCCACAAACAGTGCATCACAAGTAGTTTTTGTTTGTTGGACAAATACCCCATTGTGGAAGTAGAATATTTCTCTAGAAAGATGCCACATTTCAAGCCATTAGCCTAATAAGTTAACTAAATCACTCGTTTTCAAAAGTAAAATTTTTATTTAAATTCATTTGTATTTTTATGTTCCTTGTCAACAAAAAAGTATTTTTCTGATGAAGTATTTTTTGATTGACTTTTTTTATATGTGCATATATTCGTTTCTGATTGTTGGCCCCCACATATCCTATAGACAGAGCTAATATTGTTTGATTGTGGAAGAGATTATTTTTTTCATTAGACAAAAAATGTAAGGTATCACTCGTCAATAGGCAAAGCGCCTCTATACATAGAACAACTACTATGAATGTTTTTGACAAATGACAAAAGTTAAAATCTTATCTTACCAACTTATTAGGACTACATAGTGATAATTTCTCAACTATAATGAAATTATGTAATCGAAAGTTTAAAATAATTTAATTTCACCCCTGAGAAATGACAAAAAACACTCTTTACACAGAAGACAAGACACCTCACTATCAAAGTGCCTCTTCTATAATGTATTCTGTGACGACACTTGACATTCTTGGCATTAGTGACGTAATAACGTTACGTCATGCTATGCCATGGCATTGAGTATCTAATTTTTGCCAAAAGGTGTGGAAGAGATTGACTGCACAAAGCACGTATATAGGTTTTCTCTCTGACTGTTCTTTTAGCTTTATACTGTAACTAAAGGGTTGACAATATTTCCATCAAACACGAAGGTCAAAATACAGGTTATTTTGTCGAAACTGGGTAATGACCTAGAGGGCAAACCCAAAAGCCAGAAAGAAAACAAACCAAATGAAACTCTTCCCAAATAAATCTTTAGCAATAGAGGTCAATGATAAATGACGCAGCTGCTGCTGGATTTATTGATTTGTGTTTAGATTGTGTGTGCAGTGAAGTATCATTGTGAATGATATCACAAAAAGAAGGGGGATATGGTTTTTCCTGATAAAATTTTTAACTCGAACCGAAATTCTGACGCACACACACATAAACATCATTTCAGTTTCTCAATCTCTGGGTATAACCAGTTTCTGTATATATCTACGTCCATTAACAAGCGCTCATTTTTAAATTCTTGCTAACATAGTTTTATGTTGATTCAAGGTAATGTGTGAAAATCGTGAGAGAAATCTGATTGTGATAGGCATCAGTGGGGTTACTTGTGGCGGAAAAACAACTACAGCGACAAAACTGGCCAACTTATTGCCAAACTGTAAAATAATTGGTCAGGATGACTATTTTCTGGTCGAGGATGATCCAAGGCATACGTGGATCCCCGAGTTGAATCACGTAAATTATGACACAATAACCAGTCTGGATATGGATCAGATGTATGAAGATTTATTAGAGATTATCAATAAGTTTAAAAGGAAAGGAGTATTGGAGGAGTCAAAGAATTCAGCAAACCAAGAGGCAAAGGAAAACTGTATATCACTTACTAGATTTAAAGATTCTAATGTGTCATTTTTGATTGTCGAGGGATTTTCGATTTTCAATTTTAAACCACTGTTACCTCTTTTCCATTTAAAATACTATTTTGTTCTAGATAAAGATAAGTGTCTTGAGCGTCGTGAAAAAAGGGCTTACGAGCCTCCTGATTGTCCTGGATATTTCGAGAAATGTGTCTGGCCGGAGCATCTTGCCCAGTTGAAGGAAGTTAAAACTTTTGTCAAAAATGTGTGTTATTTTGATGGAGATTCAGAATTAGATATTATTCAGAAAATACTAGCTGATATTACTGAATATCTAAAGTCAAGTACTTAATATAAGTTTTTAAGGTCAAAAGTGTGAAGTTATTCCAATAAAACTGCATTCCTGTGATTATAAAGACAAAGGGTTTCATTTTATATTCTTTTTCACCAAGAGTGGATTCATGTAGAGGTTCAAGATGCATATCCCAAGTTTTAAATCTAAATAATTTTTTATTTGTTACTTAAAACTTACAATTCCTGCAAGATATTAACAGTAAATACATGCTAATGTATTTATGTTCCCATCACAATTTAATGATTAACTACTTTCAGTCATTAAAGAATATCCAGAAATCCACTCAAATATAATTTTATAAAGTAACATGGTTTGAAATCTTAATTTTTTCAAAATAATTTGCTGATCTTTTATTTTATTCCTTTTCATTTCTTTTACTCTGTGATCATTTATCTTGATTATTTTATTCCTTGTATTGTATTTTCATTTCACGTTTCATTGGTAAATATAATTCATATTTGATCTCATTCTGATTTTTTTTTTTTTTTCATAGATTTTGAATCGTAGACAATGGAAGTAAAATGGTAAAATTCAATGTGAAACATGGTCAATCACTTTCAAACAAACATAATTTTATGAACTTCCATTGTTTCATCAAACTATTTGCTGTAGATTAAAATTAAGTGAGAGTAATGAAGGTTGAATTGGGGTCAAGTATTTTTTTCAATGATAAATTTAATAATGGGTTAATGCAACATACATAATAACTAAACTAATGACTAAAGGGTTCATTGAAAAGAAATGAACGAGAGCGTTTTCGGAAATTCAATTTGAACTAAGGACTATAACTAGTTAACCAAGATTTAACAGTAACAGATCAGATCAAATGAAAAATAAACACGCCAAATTGAGATATTTACAGCTGTCATTGACCATAGAAATATAAAAATGATTGTTTCAAATTTTCATGTATTATGAAAATTGTAAAAATGAATGAAAAAGTGTTGGGAATTGTTTTTTGTTTATATGTAACTATAATATAACAAATAACAATATGCTGTGACAGAACTTAAATAAGTATATCTTAAAAAAACTATGAACTTTACCTGGGCTCACATAAATGTCTTTCTAGCCAAATGCAATTAAAGTATTTATCTCTGACAAACAAGGGGTAGCATGTTTTTTTGCCCTTTTTGGGAAATATGAGATGTTTAGGAAGAACGAGAATCACTGTTGAAAGTAATTCATCCTATAAAAATATAAGAATTGTATCAAAAAATAAATGTTGGCTAAGTGAACGTGGTTTAGATGGAAACAACTAGGCACGTTTTGTACAATTCCAAAACCCAGGAATTTCTAACAGTTTTTATGAAATTAAATGTTATTTTGGTAGTATTAGAAAAATACCAAATACGCCAGAAGAAGCTTTTATATAACAAAACACGTGTAGCGTTAAATCTCGCAAAGAAGTGATGTTTCAATTCGTTGTTTTTATCTGTACAATAATTTAGTCATACATTCAAATCATAATTTTTTCACCATATCTAAAAAGTCTATCCATTTTAGAAAACCCTCGTATTCATTTCACCTATACACCTATTCAAATGTATCAATTAATGAATTAACGATAGTTAATCATAGTTAATATTCAGTAAATGAATATTGATAAAGTTTTTTTTCAACTACTTGAAGCTTGTTCACCTTCAATCAGTTCTGATTTTTCTTTTTAAATATCTGTTAAAAAAAAAAAAAAATCTGTTTTTCCGTTAACCAGTTGTCGCACCCCTACGAACGACAACCCTCAGAAGTCGAAACTTGTGCGAGCCAAGGATTAACGAGGTCTTACCTTTTAACGTGTGATTCCTAACACGGGTTGTCGGTAGCAAGTGAAGATCGATCGTTCAGACTAGGGCTTGAACCACCGACCAGCACGGCAGTCAATTCGAGTGAGTGAACAAAGCACCCACACCGAACCGCTTGGCTACCGACTGACCATCTGCTGGGAGTGAACTAAAAAGAAACAATCATCAGTTCAGATTTAGTGTTATTTTGCCTCTAAAGACTTCACAAAGATGGCGCCAAACATTTGCAACATTTCTCCAATCCACTTCTATGCTAATATTAACTTTGTGTTTCTTGGTTGAAGCAAAATCCATGAAAAAATTAACTATTGAAACGCATGTTTCTTTTTAAATCACTTGAATTTCATACATCAATCGTAAAAGCTGTCAAATGACGTCACTGACTAGTTTATGATCAATCTCGATTTTTTTTGACAAATGGAAAAATTGCTTGTGTTACTAAATTGTGTTGTGTTATTATTGACTAAATTAATTTTTTTACAGATTTATTTGCGAATTATGAATTATATATATTTTGAGTATATTAGACAACTTCTTACAAACAAAGATGGAAAATTTTCCAAAATTGTATAAATTCAAACTTCGCTTCCATTAATTAAGACAGCTTACTAGGATTCATCAAATTTATTGACTCTGGTTTTGATGTGTGTTAGAAACTGTAGATTTTTAGTTAGCTTTGTTGAATAGTTTCATTAAATTTTTATGACTCTATAGACATGTTTGAATGTTGAAGTTGTTTATTCAAAGCATCACGCAACTGATTTCCTCTTTTGGTTACGAACGTTTTCAACGATATAAATATAGTTATTCTTTGAAAGACATTTTTTTGTGAAGGAGTCAATACTTATTCTTACTGTTTTTTTTTTGAGTGTATAATTTTCCACAATCTGAAAAGATGATCTGCTGAATAAGTATGATAGTGGTGAACTGCAAAGTTCGCTCAAAAAAGTTACTGCGTAATATAATCTACTGAAGAGTCCAAATCGTTAGTAACTTATTATAGTCGAAAAATTTGCCTACAAATTCATATACTTAGCTCTCTTTGGATGGTTAACGTTTTGGTAAATAATCTTTTTCCATTTTGAAAACCCAAAAAACAGCTGTATTGACATACTTTTCCCGTTCATTACACTTTTCAGAAGATTCCCTGTGAATTGATCATTAAAATTGATAAAGATTATACAACCAAAAACGGTAAGTAACACTGACTTATCCACAAAAAATGTCTTTCAAAAAATATAAATATAGTTGAACCATTGTTACAGGCAATTCAACAGAAATATATGGAATTCATATGTATGAATCGATGACTAGAGGAACCGTTTATTGGAATTATTCGTTTAAAAATCGGTAAATTATGGAATAGTCAGATTGTAATCCGATTATATCGGTGAGTTGATCGGCGAACACAGGAACTGCCGTGAATTTAAGAACTCGCCTGTGCAGCGCCTGTCAACTGTTTTATTACCTGACGTTTTATTTGTCAGATTGTCAGACAATTCAGTGAAAGTGTAAATCAGATCAGAACTCGGAACAAAAAATGTTTATTGTTTGCAACTATTTCATAATAAAGTAATAGAGCAGACGTCTTTGGCCAAATAATGTTAGATAACTCTAAACAATGAGCGTCTTCGGAGATTTTCAGCAAGTGTGGCTACAAAGATTCCCCGAGAGTCCTTTACCAGGGGCTTGGGAGGAGGATGTTCGCGCAAACCTGGCGAAACATAAACAGAAGGTGTCGTTGTTGAAGGAAGAACTGGAGAAGGAACAATTTTACGTGGAATACCTGGAGAGATTATTGAGCGATGTGGAACAGCACAAAATCAAGTTGGCAAGGGAAAAAAGCATTGAAAGTGAGGAGACAGGTGATGTCACGGCAGATACGATATCTAAAGTAAATATTGTTTTTACTTCTTATTATTTCTGCGGTTGAAGTAACTTTCATTTCTTAGTCATGAATAACGAATTTTCCTTGTTTACTAATTGGTAAATGAGGTGTGGTTCAGTTAGGATGGGACACTACTGCATTTTAATTTTTTATCCAGTTTGCAAAGTATTTTAAATTGAAGAAATAACAATAATAGCAAATATTTTTGAATGCATTTTTGTACATTTCTACTTTAGGATATTTATTGATATTACTCTAATTCAGGAGAGTATTATCAGTAAATTCCTAAGTGAATCTTTTTTTAAAGTATTCCTGAAATATCAGAGCCTCCTTTGGATATGAAAATGTTTCCATAATATTTAAAATTTCTGTGAGTGTAATTTCCTGCAGTCTGTTTGTCTGTTGCATAAGTGGCAGATAGGTACCAGAGTTGCCAGCTTTTTTATTTATATTTTATTGGGATTATTTGCCCTGACATTTCATTATTTTGATAGAGATATTTAATCAATGAAAATTTTCTCAGGAAGTACCTAACTTGCTTTGCTATTCATTATATTACAAAAAAAAACTAGTCAATAAATGTATGATATCACAAACTGTTTTATTGGATTCAGTTCTTTACTAAAATTCACATCTGACAAAGGGACATTCACTAGCCTGTGGATCATGCTGTTGAATGCTGCTACTTTGTGTTGATATAGAGGTGGGGTTTTGTAAACTTTTTATAATGAAAATAAAAAAAATCTTATTAGATATTTGAGAATATGTTTAATTCAATTTTTTGGTTTTCTAGTATTTCACAAATATCTCCTGTACTATGATATTTATGAAAAAAAATGGACTCGACTTTTTTGTTTGTCTTTTTTATTTGAACAAAGTGACATTGTTTCTGAAATAATTCCTGAATCATAGCAATTATGGAAAAAATGTAATAAAGTAGTTTTTTCAGTATCTTCAGTTTTTACTTCCAATTTGTCTAACAATGCCGAAAATTTTCCAAGTCGTTTAAAAACATTCTCCGAGTCCATTCACCTAAATCAGCAAATCCTTAAATATTTCCAGAAGTATCACAGTTATGAAAAAAATAAAAAATGTAGAAAAAAGCCAAAATTATTATTTTTATTTTTCAGAAGGACCCTGGTAAACCGTCAACAGTTTCTCTGAACGTCGAAGAAACCGAAACATTGTCTGCCAATATGTGTGTGAATGAAATATCCAAACAGATGATCCCTAAAGACAGTCATGAACGATACGAACCTACTGCTCCTCCTGATCAAGATCCTGGAACTTTTGTGACAGTCATCGAAGTTAATGGTGTAAAACAAGGAAACATTTCTCCGGTTAAAACTCCGCCAAAGTAAGTGTATCAGTTCTGTACAACACATATGTATGTAATATAATTGAAAATGCAATATTTTCACAAATAATAATTGATTTGAGCTCACATTCATTGTAGTATTGTATGCTCCTAACTTGTTCGTACTTGAGTATTTTTGATACCATTATGTTGCTTAATTTTGTGTTTATATAAAAATATTATTTCATACTTTCGAGCAAAGTTTTTCAAATAATTTTAACTTTTTTTTTTTAATTTTTTGTTTCGCTATAATTGACTGATGTTTTATTGAAAAATTACCCCCCCCTTTACGAATATTTCTACATCTCATTATTGTGATTTCTCAACATTTTGACATCATTGTTATTTTGTTCCATTGTTGATAGTTCAGCCAAGTTTCAAGTTTGAATTGGGTTTGGATTATTATGGAAATTAGTAGTTATCAATGGAAAACATTTTTCAGTTGTTAAACTTGATTAAGATATTCATGTTTGTAGATTTTATGTTAATTAGTAACTTCACCACATTCAGATATTCAAATTATTCAAGTTTTGTACTGAACTGAAACGGTAAGAAAAACTACTGATAAAGTGTCAAAAACCTTTTGCAATAATATTGAAAATGGAAACCCATAAGACGCTATCTGTAGAATGACTTCCACAATCTATGAATCGTTGGATGGGAAAAAATTCTATACTCCGTGTATTTCTGGACCCCTCTAAGGCTGACTGTCATAAAAAAATAACTCAAAAATGACAGAGGTATGGTATTAGAGGTCTTGTTTTCAAAAGATTAGAAATCTAATTCATTTATTGAAAGTAAATAGTTAAATTGATGGTATTTTGAGGAAAGCACAAATAGTAACATTTAGAGTGACCCAAAGAACAGTTCTTGGCCCTTTTTTATTAACTCTCTAAATAATCAGTGTGGTGATATCTCTTGGCAGTGTTGTGAAATCATCAACAGCTCAGTAAGGTTGATAGTGTGAAAATTATTTTATTATCATGGCTAGTTAGATAGAAAAGTTTTACCTTTCTACTTCTCCATCTTGATACAGAAAATGTGGGAATCTTCCGAAGAAAGGAAGAAAGCAGTTAATTTCCAAATAGGATACAGAAGTTGAAAGCTAATACCTTTCTGTCAATTTAAATAAAATGAGGTAATTTGCTACGATATAATTGAATAAAATTGAAAAAAAATTGATTACAATTACCATAATAGAATGTCAAAAATATAAAATTCAAACAGGAACCCACTCGGCCTTTGGATTATGTCCTATATAATTGCAGTACTGATCTTTCACTTCACGTCTGACACTCAGTAAACAAATGTTGTAATTATATTCATATTTAGGGTACCCTCCAGACCGGATTCTTTAAAGAGCAAAACCAGAAGAAGCAACAGCGATTCAATATCATCGTCTTCCGAATTCCTCACTACTGTCGACGAACCTTATTATGACAGGGTGGCCCCCGAAGACGACTATCTCGTCGAAAGTAATCATTCCAGTACTGAGAACGTGTTCAGTTCTTCCAGTACCCTCTTATTGGAGTCCAAGAGGGATTCCACGCAAAATATTCCAGAACCTCAGTCTCCTGGAACATCCAATTATGTTAACATTGAATATTTCATTAGTAGGTAAGTGGATTTGATGACTTGAAATTTTGTTTGTCATGAATGTATTTATGTTTGAAATCTTTGTGAAAGATTTTTTTTTTTCCATACAGGACTATTATTATGAAATTATTTTTCTACAGTAGACATAGAAGATCGATGGAGATACTATCAGTTAGTCTGTAGCCATACAGGCTACAGTCATTCAAGCTCAGGTAGTCATACAGGCTAGCTACAGCCATACAGGTGGAATATACTCTTTTCTAAAGTGCTTCCTGCCTGAATTTTCATATTTACACTGACAACAACGATGCAATTCTTCCGTATTTTCCGGACTAAGATGGAAAAATGCTACTTTCGCAAAAAAAACGTTTGGGTAGTGGGTACTTCACAGACGGTTGCAGAAAAATAAATATTTATTCAGATAATCATTGGATATTTCAAATATTCTAATTTCGAGAGGTACACAAAACAACACATGGCAAATAATGGTATCAACTGCAGGACACTTGATAAATCTAACACGTTTGTGGAAGTTATCCAATGTGCAATGTATAATCATTAATGACTAAAATCAATAGGACCTCAATTCACCACCATTACAGTATATGGAATCCTTGATTAAATTCGAAGTTGGGATGGGAAGTCTAAAGGTATAATTGCTATTACAAATAGCATAAGGAGTAGAAGCAAAGTTGAACTTCGATTTCTGTTAATAAATAAGGCAAACCGTCTCTAAGATAAAAAGTGCGATGACTGTTAACATTTTATTGTCAGTGAACAAATTCCTGCACAACTCTCTGGGTTTGACTATACAGAGACATCTTAGTGCCCTCTTCTGTAATATCAATACAGAAGAGAGAAGGGATGAGTTGCATGCTCCCCAAAAAAGGTATTCCATAACGTAGTCGAGATTTAATAAGTGCATGGTAAACGATCTTTGCAACATGGAAACCCAACTCATTTGAAACCACTCTAACCGCATAACATCCGGAGGAGATCTTACTCTTCAGTTGTTTAAGGTGTTCATCAAATTTCTGCCTAATATCAATGAATACACCATGAAACTTTGTGTTTAATTTATTTTGTAATGTGGCAGCGTCTGTTGAAATTTCATCAAGCGAACATTTGAATGATATTATATTCGTTTTGGATGCATTTAGAGAGAGTAAATTTGCATCGCACCAGCTCTTCACCTTCTTCAAGTCGGATGATATTATTTTATTTAGTTCCATTGAGTTTTTTTCTTTTCACAATATTGTAATATCATCTGCAAATAGAGTGAAACTACCAGATATGTTAATCATAGATATATCATTCATAAATAGCAGAAACAGAATAGGGCCTAACACATAACCCTGTGGTACACCAGATTCAATGGCCCTGTTTTCCGAGAGTTCCGTTGTCCTCACCATTTGACTCCGACCTGAAAGGTACGATTCGAGCCAAGTGTTCGTTACATCTCTACATTCTCTACAATCAAACGCCTTTGAAATATCGCAAAAAAAATGTGGCGGCTACTTCTCCAGCATTCATTTCATATGTATCTTTTTCTGCTTGAAACCCAAACTGGTTTTTGCTTATACAGTGCAGTTTTGAGAAAGATTGATTGATTTTAGCATGGAACAACATATAACATAGAAGTTAAAATGAATATTACTGGAGTTTTATTCCACCCATTAAAGTGTTTAATCTTCCTCTTGAAGATGATCACTTGGTGATCGAAACACGTGTCGAGGTGTTGTTGGGAAAAAATTCCAGTAATATTCATTACTACACCAAAGGTTCCAAACAGTGCATTACAAGAACATTGAAGTTCACAAATCTAAAGATCATGATCTTTGTCTCATGTCTCAGTTTTGGTTTTTCAACCTGGTCTACATTAATTTCTTAAATGAAAAAAAAAATGGAATTTCAACATGTCAAAGGTTAAAACAAAATAGTGCACATTTTTGCATATTGGCCAACCGTACCCCAAATAACAACATGAAGATTAGAGTTGTGACAGTTCGTTATTCCTCTTCTTGTACAGTTATGGCCTATTCTCCGAGAAAAATTAGCCAGTTCTCGACTATTACAGGTCACTGTAAGTGTGTATATTTATTTACTGATAGTGATGCCTTATTCTCAAGAAATATTACATGCTCATGATAGAGAATTATACATGTCAACTCCAACTGGAATTTCACAAATTATCGGGATTATAATTCTCCCAAATGTCTTCAAATATCTTTGTTCCAGCTACCTTTTACAACCATAGGATATTTCGAGGTATTTCTACTTCAAAACTCATTAATTTTTTTGCACTGAAATTTTTGAAGTCAAACTAACAATTGACTGATACATTTTTTTTTTGTATTCAAATTATGAATAAGCATCATAATCTATTTGTGGAGGCAGGTGTTGGTTGATATAAAAAACAACAAAGGAAATACATTCTGAAATGTTGCTTTATTGAAGGACCCCAGAGTGGTGAGGGATATGATCTGAAAACAAATTGACTTCATAAATGTATTCTATTGCCATTCAAAAATAATATCATCTTTGTTAAAAGTTTGTTGCATTCCAATTTTCACAGGGATGACAAAACTGAATCCAACAAATAAGTTACTTGGAACCTTCCCTATGTTTTTATAAGCACACTATGAGCAGATTATTTTTAAGCAATAATACATTCATTTCAGATATGTATTTTACTTCACCACCAAGACAAAATAAACATTTTTTCAAGAGTTGTAGATAGGTTGGTAGCTCTGAAAGAATACTTTAAGACTTCCGCATCTCTCACATGTTGAATAATGAAGTTATAATCTCCAATAATTATAAGTTATAAAAAGTTGATTCCTTTATAAAAGTAACTTGTTGAATAATTTGGTATACTAATGTGATTTAATGTCAATTTGGCAACGTCGCATCCTTTAACATTTGCAGTACTGCCACCATGAACAAGAAATAGATATATAGTTATTACTCAAACTCAAACTTTTGTATAGAATGAAAACTGATCCTCTATATGATAATAAAAGAGTATAAAATCAAAATAGTGGAAGATAGTGCCGATCATTTGTAGTCATTTGAATATTGAACCGTCAACTTTTACTCACTTTTTTATAACTTGAAAAGTTGAATTGAGAATACCTTGGAAAATATGGTAAACTGTTTCAGTTCTAACAAGAAGAATGGAAATAGTCACAGTAGTAGTGAAGACGAACAAGACGAAATAACAGAATTGAGGAGGCACAATGACAACAGCTCCTATGCAAGTTCTAGTTCTTTGGAGTCGAATACTCCAGCTTCCAGGAGAAAATTCAGTCAAGTGAGTATATTCTCTGTAAAACTTCATAACAACCCGATGCTAGTCTTTTTTTTAAGGACGTTATATGTTCCTCAAACCCTAACTTTCAGTCAATGTGTATACCCAGGAATTTAGGGCTAGTTTTGTTTTCTACTTTATGTGTTCCTAAGACCAAGTTTTCGAATTCGAATTTGAAGGTAATTATATTAGTTTTTTCCACATTGAAACAAAGATTATTTGAGTTACACCAAGATTCGATTTCGCTGAGTTCATTGTAAATAACTGTTTTTAGAACAGTAATATATGCTGATGGTATTCATCAGATAGTAGCAGAAAAAGAACTGTTACTCTCTGCTCAAGCCGGAAATGCATCTGCTGAATAATTTTCAATGTGGTGCTGGTCACTATAAATAAAACTGTTTTTATGAATCATCAACAAAAATATTCATCATGACTTTTCTCCACTAATAAAAATTATCCACCAGTCTTCCGAGCAGGTAACTTAATATAAACATCTTGGTTTGACGATTGACCTAAAATTAATTTGGGAAAAACACAAGGAAAATCTAAGTATTGTTTGCTTTGTATTGCTGTTTTGAAATAGAATTTCTAAACATTCATCTCTCCCAACTACCTACACAGGTTCTGGTAAATGCCTGCTGGAAAACAACTACTTCCCTGGCTAACACCACTCTGGAGATTGAATTATATTCGACAGACATTTGTACAAGATACCTCACAGGGGTTAGTCTCGCAGATGTTTCTCGTTCCTCCGATAGCAAAACCATGCTGAAATTGTTGTACCAACAATTTAATCAGCTGTTTCCATGAAAGTGACGCATTTGCTATTTGCCAACGATTAATTTTTTTTTTAATAATTGAAAGTGAAGCTGGTACATTGTGTTTACAATGGTATGTGTTTGAACACATCCAAACGCCAAATTTTTCGCTTTCATCAAATACATTACCCAATCACTTTCGAATATAGTATAAATAACAACCAAAGATCTAGGTGTGATCCTAGACTCCACACTTAGCTATAAATAACATATTTTTCCTGTAATTCAAAAATCTATGAAAATGCTTGGCTTTATAAAGAGAACCACTCGTGATTTCACCAACATTACTGCTATTGAATCTCCTTATTTTTCCCTGGTTATATCTAATCTCGATTATCGTTCCACAGTTTGGTCCCCTCATTACATTACACAAAAAGTGAAACTCGAGGCCATACAGCACAATTTCCTTTGATATATTGCCTTCAAGATGCGTGTTTACTATGACTATACTGCATTGGAATGCATTTTGAACATACCTTCTCTTGAGGCTGGCAGAAAACATAGAGATTTAATACTTCTATTCAAAATTATCAACGGACTTCTCTCCAAAATATCTTTACATGTCCCCAGTCGTTCAACTAGACGGGTGCAAAAGCTTTACGTTTCTTTTCACAGATTCAATTATTCATATAACAGCTTTATTCCTGAGAACTCTTCGATTGGCTAACTCTTTAAATAAACTACAAATCTTTAATACATCAGTTTCCCGCTTCAAAAACCATATTCTTTACCTAATCATCTAATACTCTCTGCTTGTGTTGTTGTATTGTGTTACTTGCCTGTTAGAATTATATTAGTTCATATTGTTATACATTTTAATTTTTCTCAAATATTCTAATTGTTATCTTACTTTGAAATTGTATTATTCTTATAATTTACTTTTAATCCACTGTATTGCATCAAGTACTACATAGCGCACTGTACTACTTATAAAGGTATTGTGCTTGGCCGTGTATATAAATAAATAAGTTATTTGAGTAGTTCACCTGCAGACCGGTTTGGAGGTATCACCTGTTATCAGTGAAGGATATATCCGACCCAAACAGCAAAGTATCTGGGACTTGACGAGATATTTTTTTCTTGTATGTATGTATACGTTGTATTGTATACAACTTGAAAAGGGGACTGATCATTTACCTATTTATCAAGATATCATGGCACATGCTAAGATTTGGTTCACAGCCAATGATCTTTTTTTGAATGAGACCAAAACCCGTTGTGAAATCTTTAGTGTAAATGGTACAAATAGTTTGGTTGAAAATGAGCACATAAAATTTCTAGGTATAGTTTTTTAGACCCACAACTGAGGTGGACAGCCCATATAAACTGTTTATGTAACAAGCTGTCGCAAGTGATATTTTACCAAGAAAAATACGACATGTCACAAACATGGAAGCAACAGTATCTGCGTATTATGCATTGACTATGAAACATAGTCACTTGATGTATGGAATACAGTGTTACGTTAATGCAGTATCTACACATATTACGAGGATTTTCACATTGCAGAAAGCGGCAATAAGATCTATTTTAAATGTACCATGGGATACCAGTTGTAGAGAAAGAACTATTTCCTTCATTAAAAATCATGACCATCTACTCACTGCTCATTTATCAGAGTATAATAACAGATAAGTCAAAGATAAATGAACATGCAATAAACTCGTCAATTCACCCTCATGATACCAGACACAAACACAATTTGTTGGTGCCATTATGTCGTCTGTAATGAACGCAAAGAGACGACATACGGCTCTTCAACCTTCTTCCCACAGAGTTTAGGAATAGACCCTCGACGCAATTCAAAAATCAATTAAAACAGATACTATCCAATAACTGTTTCAATAGTATACTTGAATTCGAAACATTCATCAAGAAAAACAGAAATATCTTCATGACCCACAGAAACCTGTATTTTTATTTATACTGATGGCACAATTCATCATTATCTATATACATACTTTATATATTTATAATGTATAATGCCATTGTTTTTTATGTTTCTTGAGACCAATAAAAATTATTATTATTATTGTGAAAATAAATTTGTGACTAGTCTGACGAAATGTTGATGTTGAATTAAACTGGGTTTCATATTGCTTTCAGGACAGCGATAAAGGAGAATTTGATAGGGACAGGATGTACAAAAGCATATTCTACAATATTACGGAGAGCGAGAGCAATTATGTGGATTGGCTAAGCGTATTATTGAAGGTATTTTATATTTCATGCAAAATCTTTCACTTGGTACTCCGTCAATGTCTTATTTCAGTATATGAAGGCGATACAGGCAACTATAGGGACTTCCCAGCCCATCGTTAGCGAGGCTGAGCTCAACACGATTTTCTACAAGATTCCAGATCTGTACAGTTTGCACTCAAACTTCTTAGAAGCCCTCCGTAGACATGTTCAGAAATGGGACACAAGAATCGGGGAACATTTCAAAATAATGGTAAAACTTTCTATTCTCATTTCATATGAGATGTTTGATTGAATTTTTTGCTGTAGGCTTCTAATTTATCCTTGTACGGAGCCTTTCTGAGCAACTATGGGCAGGCTTTAGACACTGTACAGAAATGCAGCGCAGCTAACTCGCAATTTGGCGAGATATCGAAAAACATAACTTGCAAGCAATTATCCGGGCAGCCAATAAGTCTAGAAGATCTCTTGCACAAACCGGTGGCCAGGGTTCAAAAAAACGCTTTGGTTTTGCACGATCTCCTGAAATACGTCCCGCCGACTCATGTGGACCATCATAGTTTGACGGAGGCTTTGAATTTAACCCAGAATTTTTTGGACCAGTTCAACATGATACAGACCAAGTTGATGTTTCCTGTAAGTGAATGCAAATTTCTTTGATGCTGAAATGATCGAGAAGTCGTTTATGTAGATGGAAATTTTGAGGGGATCCAAAATGTAACCTCGAGGTTTAACTTATAGGTTTAAATATTTTCAGGTTGCAGATCGGGCACAACGTAGGCTAGTGAAAAATTCGTTTATAGTGGAATTTGTGGATGGGAACAGAAAACTGAGGCATCTGTTTCTCTTCAACGACGTCATAGCTTGCGCCAAATATAAGGTAAGTAGATTTAGAGAGAATGAAAACAATATTGAGGGTACAAATATGGAATCAAAGTGTAAGAAGTGGGTAGACTGAATGCTGAAGCAAAGAATGAAAGCCAAAGAGTGGGATAGAGTTGAAGTATGAAATGAAAGCAAAAGAAGGAATGAATGAATCGAGATAAAACGTGAGAACGACTGAAAGCAGAAGTGACAGGTAGAGAGGATCATCTAATAAAAGTAGAAAAAAGAAAATGAAAGCTGATACGAGAAATAGAGAAGGAGATTGAAAGTAGAGGATGAAAAGAAAAACAAACATTGATTGAAGTAATAAAATATTCATAATGAAAAGAGAGATAAGTCTGAGAAACAGAATGAATTGAAAATACTTATAACATGAGAAGGCAACAGAAAATACCAAGAAAACCTCTGGAAAGAGATAATTGAGGATAAGAATTTGGAGATTTAAAGAATAACATGTAGAGAATCAAAGTAGGAATGAAAAGGAAAATAATATGAAGATGGAGGTTAAGAAGTATGAAAGAAGAGTGAATGTGAGAGGGGGAAAGGGTGGAATATTGCAAGAAAATGAAAGCTGAAGATGTAAAAGTTGAAAATGAATTGAACCTGAAGAAGAATTGAAGAAATAGTATAGAATGAGAAGTTGAAGAAAATAAAAGTGACAAAGATGCAAAAGATACAAAAAGAACTATGAAAGAATTCAAATACATATAAAGTTAAATTCAAAAATTGAGCAGAAACTACTGAAATGAAAGTGAAGAAAAAGGTCATGAAAGCAGAATAGGGAGAGAATGGAAGCATAGAAATAAGAATGGAATGTTGCAAATGGNAAATCAGATGTTCACATTGAATTTTCCAGGTAAGACCTCTATCAATATGTAAACCCAGGAATTTTACACATTCTTCACCCATCCTAAGATTATTCTACCTGAACAAGACAAGAGGAATGGTGAAATAACAAGTTGAAATTTGTAGTTGATAATAATACAAATAGAATGAAATGCTGTGAAGGAAATCAAATAAGTTAAGGTGAAAAAAAGAATTGCAAAAAAATGATAAAAGTGAAACAAAAATGAAAGAAGAGTTAAACTCGAACATTAATAAAAAGAAGGCTACAGAGAGAGAGAGACACGTTGGAAGATAATATCACAAGTAAAAGAGAAAAATTTAGAAAAACCAATAATGACTGAAAGTAAGAAAAAAAGCTACAATTTGAACTAGAGGATATAAAAGTCAAAACCAAAACTGACAATGAGAAAGAATGTGAACTATTGAAAAAGGATAAAAGCAGATAATGAGATGTAAAAGAGTATCAGCAAGAGGATGGTAGTCTGAAGAAAAACATGGTAGCAATTAAAATGACAAAAAGAACAACAAAGAAAATTCATGAATGAACTAGACCAAAAAATAAAAAACTGTATTGATTGTTTGGAAGCTAGGAAGTGAAATGGAGCATGAGAGCAAGAATGAGTGAAAGAGATAAATTGAATTGTGAGATTCAAAGAAAGTAATATATCTTTATTTGAAATAGGAATTCCTAATATACATACAAATCTTAAAAATTATGATAAATGTGAAAAAATTGTCAATATCGCGAAATATATGAATACATCAATTATAATAGCTACTAGTAATAAAATACAAATAGATAAAAACAATNTAGTAGATAGGGTGAGATCGAAAGATAAAGTGGGGGGAGAAAGATGATTTTTTACTGATCTATGTTGAAACATTTGTTCAACTTTATTTATTGTCAGTAACTTTTTCAATTTTTGGATTACAGACTGCTGGACGGGCTGAAAAATACACATTCGAGTTGAAATGGTTCATACCCGTTGAGGATATAATAATGCTCGAAGAAACAACAGCAAACCTGCATGAAATTGCGTCTTCAAACATAGTCTCTCTGAAGTCCCAGGCTTCGAACGTCAGGGATCAGTTGAGGCAAGAAGATAAAGCAAACGAAGTGAGTTTTCTGTCTTATGCACTTTTTTTACCATTGAATGTTATTGTTGAACTTTCATTTCAGAATCGATCGAAACAGTCGAGGGGTTCAGACAAATTCAGAAAAAGACTGATAGAACTAGAGAGCCAACTTGTGCTGGTATCGCCAAATTTAGTGTATAGAATCAAAAACAAAATGACTGGGCGGACTTATATGTTCTTCTTGTCGTCTGATTTTGAGCGCACGCAGTGGATCGAGGCGATTCAAACACTGCAGAAGACTGAGAGAACTGGTAAAATGAACGCTCCTCCTATCAGCGAACTCCAGACTTGGATAACTGCGTGCCGGAGCTACCTGAAGACGAACATGGGGTCTTACCTGTTGAGAAGTGGCAACGACGAGAGACTGCTCGTGGGAGACTTGCATGTGTTTGTGTATGATTTGTGTGGATTGGACTATTCTTGTGGTAAGTTTTTCGAATTTATTCGTTGTGTGTTGAAACATTTCGTTCAGTCATAGTTTCCTGTATTTCTTGAATACAGTATTGAAGGCAGTCATTGGTGAATGAAAATTTTATTTTGAATAGTCGAGTTCCTTTCTTTCCTGTTTTTTACCTGAAGGAATATCATTTTTAAAAGTTATTTAGAAACATTTCAGTTGGCATTTCTCAAAAGTTTTTATATAACCATCGGCTATCATTGATGATTTCCACTCTCCTTGCCTATTATTGCAAGTTATGGTTGTATTTGACATTTTATTTCATCTAGATAAGGTTTTAGCAAATACTTTTATGCTATTTTAACATAAACAATAAAACAAGGATTAACACTGGCCCTGCTATTTTTCATAATCTTTATGAGTGATATAGTACTTGCATCTTTGTCACCAAATAAAACTATAACATATGCAGATGATTCAAGCCACATAGTAGCAAAAAACAACCTTTCACTCTCGATAGAAGTCGCAAACAACACTGCAAAAGAATTCTCACAATGGTGTAAAAGTAATGGTTTACTAGTTAATACAAATAAAACAGTCTTCATTTAATACAAATAAAACAGTTTTCATGCTCTTTCAAATTATCTAAGAACAATTTGTTTAGGCCAGTCTCAGATAATTTGATTTATAGCCAGTCTTCAAATATGCCCACTGACTATATGTGAAAGTTTTCTTTCCTTATACGAGGAATTGGTCAAATTTCGGATATATTCGTTACTGGATTTACTGCAAAAATGAGTAATAAATATATAACTTAGTGGACTCTTCAAAAAATGATGTGAATTTACAATTTACTCTATAAACATATACGAGGTCTCTATTTTGTCTCCTTCAAAGTATTCCCCCTCAGATGTAATACACTTGTGCCAGAGTTTTTCCAACTTTCGAAGCAGTTCTAATATGCACATTTTTGTATGTCCTTGAGCTCTCTTGTTGATTGAAATTTTATCTCCTCAATCGTCGCAAAACGCCGTCCTTCCATGGGTCCCTTCAGGCTTAGGAACAGAAAAAAGTCGTAGAGGGCCAAATCTGGTGAATATGGTGGCTGAGGAATGAATACGGTGTTGTTTTTGGCCAAAAAATCACGAGCAAGTAATGACAAGTGAGCAGGTGCATTGTGATGCAAAAGCCATGAAAGATTTTTCAACAATACCGGTCATTGCTTATCACATAGCAAGATAATAAGATAACACTCCTAATTGACCATACGAATCGCAATAAATACAAAATTTCAGGTTATTTTAGGGACTTCTTCGATTGACGACTTGTTTATTTTGTGGAAATTCATGTTCACTGAGGATACACTATAAAAACACACTTTTGTCTATTTTCCACTATATTCCACTAATATAGTGGAAAATAGACAAAAGTGTGTTTTTATTTTAGGGAAATATCAACAATTAGTACACCAAAAATCAAAGTGGAATTAGCACATTTATGAAGATCCCAGCTGATATTTAAGGATTTGAAAATTTTCCACAAGCGCAACTCTATATTAACCATTGGTTTTACTATAATTCATCGAGAAAATAACACAAATCATGAAATTATGAAACATCAAAAGATAATTGGCGCTCAGGGGCGACTTTGTTGATTCCAGTGGCGCATTTGCTTTTTCAGCTGCAGGAAAACTCGGAAAAACATGCAGCACCACATCATCTGAAGATCTTGATCTGCCGATATCCTCTCTTTCATAAAACAAAATGTAGGGTACCTCCAGAGGCTCCAATGAATTCAGGACATCGCCAGAATTAGTGACACAACAATCGTCTTTTACCAATGTGTAATAATGACCAGATTCAACTCCAGAATCGCAGTGCATGAATATAAGCTGCATGAATATTATAATAGTGGTCTGCTAGATTGAAGTGTTCATCTATTTCAAACTTTTTAAGAATCTGGTGCTTCTGTCAGAGGTTGAGTCATGTTTGAAGATCATCAGTGTTATTATTAGATTGACTGTTTGGCGCATATTTGGTAATACAGTTGATCATCACCCGTTTAAAGTTCCATTTTCAGATGATTTAACAATAAGCTTTGCACGGTTTTATTTGCCTACTTAATTCACATTCTCGTGTAATTATTGAGGAAGTGAGAGTGTGTAAAAAGGAGAGGGATAAATACGTTTATTGTCTGTTTGAAGGTGGTTGACAATGTTTCGTGGTGTATTTCATCAGTTCGGACTCCCCTTGTCTAATATAATATAAATTGATTTAATATCCCTGAAAAAAATTTGTTCATCCGTTGTGTACTATTCGATAGTCGACTTTTCGCCATCATCTCAGATGGCATTATCAAGACGAGTTACTGCTTTGCTTCGAGAGGTGTAACTGATGTTAGGTTCTTCTTGTGGTGTTTTATATGGTTTCGCTTGCGTAAGCGAAGTAGAATAGATTCACTATAGAGAATAACAGCATACAAGTTATTTTTTAATAGGTTTCTATAACTCATTTCATTTCATAGTTTTTTTGTTGATTCATTGTCGTCCTATGAACTTGAGTTTCTTGGTAAAAAGGAAAACTGGTACCTCTGGCATAGAATAAATCAAAGAGAAGCACCTTTTCTAATTACCAGAACTGCAATACTCTTTTTGAAGCGCGTTTCACCAGAAAAGAAAGCAAACTGGATTTCCTGAAGACGGCAACTTGGTTGGTGAAACGCACATCGGGAAGAGCATTGGTGATATTGTTGGAGTATAAGTTTCACTTCTCGTTCAAATTGGAAGGTGATCAGCTCATTTTTTAAATCATTTTTCATTTGATGTTGCTTGAAAATTGAATCTAATTTATTCATTGCAGACGGCAGAAAAGAAATATTCCTTTCATCATAACAGCGTGTATCAGAGAAGTCGAAAGACGAGGCATGTCTGAAGTGGGTATATACAGAGTGTCGGGTTCTGCACTAGATATATCCAAACTGAAAAAATCCTTCGAGACAAGTAAGTTCCTTGAATATTCTGTTGCAAATTTTGCAGGTAATTTTCTTGTTCCATTTCAGACTCTTATGAGGCGGAACAACTTCTGAAGGAGGTCGACATACATTCCGTAACGGGTATTTTGAGGCTGTACCTGAGAGAACTTCCTGAGGCTTTGTTCACGGATCAACGGTATCCCGAGCTGCTGGAAGCGTTCAATAATACGAACGGTAATTTGAAAAAGAGGACTGAATTACTCAACGAGTGCTTTTCCAAACTTCCGGAGCCCAATAAGCAAACCATAACTTTCATTTTGGAGCATTTGATGAGGTGAGTGTAGCTGATAATTTTATGCAAGAGAAAAAATTCGGGCTTCAATGGAAAATCGATAGAAAGCAAAGAGAGTATGAAGTTCTTAGGTGTGGTGCTTGATAGGAAACTTTCATGGGAAAACCATATCACCACTTTACGTTCCGGCCATAGTTGGTGCGACAAAAGTGTACTTTGAAGATTTCCAAACTTCTTGTTCTTCTTGGATTCACATTTAAAGTTCCGGGAAGTTTTTATGCATTAGTGTAAGATCTGATTCTAATCTTCTATGAGCCAGAGTATTCAAGTTAAGAGTGTCCAATATAATTTTATAGTCATATTCACCAATGATATCCCAGTTTATATGCAGAGTACCTTAAAAACTTATTTTGAACACTTTCAAGCATATCAATATCCACATGATATAAGGGCACCAAATTGTGGAATTTTATTCGATTAATAAGAAGAAGAACTTTATTTTTATTCAGTAGGACATGTCCTAATATAAAAATAGCTATACAAACATGTTTCTAGACTAATAAGTATATAATAAAAAGAAAAAAAGACAAATTATAAAAAATGAAATAATGCACTTAAAGTATATAAATTCGTGTGAACAAGATTGATTATGTTGTAATACATTCTGGTGATTTATAGTGACTGGATATGTTTACTGATCCTCGTTTTAAATACATAAATGATATTAGATTGCTTGAAGTCTTGTGGTAGCTTATTGAACTCATTGAGTCCTTTATAGAATAGCGATTTCATTGAGTTTGCCATTTTCCAATTAGGGAGATGAATTATATTATTTCCTCTAGTAGTATAGTTATGTATTTGGGAGTTAATCGTAGTAAATTCACTTAGATAATCTGGAAGTAGCTTATGTAATATCTTATAAATAAAAATCATTGTTAATTTATAAAATCTGTTATTCGCCGATACTCAATGCAAACAATCTAACATCGCTGCAATGCGGGTAAAACAATTACACTTCAGTATTATTCTCATACCGTGATTTTGCAGCTTTTGTAGTTGTGAAATTTTATTAGAATCAAGGAAGTATAGTAAGCTCCCACAATAATCAAAGTGGGGCTGGATAATTCTGTATCAGTTGAGCCATGAATAACTTTAAACATCTTCAGGTCATCAGCAAACAAAAGAAATTCACTATAGAGAATAACACCTTTCAAGTCATTTATAAATAGGTTGAAAAGCAGTGGCCCTAAATGAGAACCATATGGTACACCCGATGAAACTGTAATTGAGGAAGATACTGAGTTACCATATTTTACAAATTGTACTCTGCAGGCTAAATAATTTTCAATCCATTTCAGAATGTTTTCTTGAATACCTAAAGCGTTTAGTTTATGCAACAACAAATTATAATATTTGAAACTGACATCAAACTAAATTTATCAGAATATTTGATCTTGACCATAGGAAATCGTGATGAAACGTATTTGCCAACAATGATATTTTGACACTCACATCTATTTATCTTCACAAACTATTGATATATACCTTCACTAACGAAGGAAAACTGAATAAGAATAGCGAGTATCACAAATATGATAACAGAAAAAAAAATGACTTCCATCTGCAATACGCACTCAGATCACAGCACAAGAGATCACCTTCATATGCTGGGGCATACCTATTCAAACTGATACCTGAAAATATTGAATTAGAAACAAATTTGAAAACGTTTGAACAGATGTTGAAAAATTACTTGATCCGAGGAGCATTTTATCCTTAGATGATTATATCAGTGGCCCTGGCTAATCTCACTGTTATGTAATAAGCTTTTAATATGAGTAATCAACTTTCAATCAGCTTTCAATATGTTTCATTCCACGTATTTTATCCTATAAATATAAACTGACGGTATTGTTAATGTTCGCACCTTCTTTGACCTGTCTGTTGTAAACCTGTTCTGTTGTAAACAGAATCTGAAGGAATTAATAAATTATCTTCCGGCCTAAAAAGTGTAGCATCAATTTTAGTTTTTAAAAGGAGAATCAGAGACTATCTTGTAGATGGTTGTTTTTACAATATCAATGAATATTTTGAACATCCACATTTGCCAATCATCAATTAATATAATGTCCGGCATACCTATTTCAACTATTATGTACATGTATAAACACTTTTGATTGTTTATATTAAACAAGCACTCTCATGTGTTAAATTTATGCATTTTGTAATGCTGTTGTACTAATATTTATATTCATTTCATGTTTTTTACCATTGACGAAGGTCATCATTGTGAAGGAATAAAGATATTGTATTGTATTGTATATTTCTAGGATACACAGACACGAAAGCGAAAACAAGATGTCTCTCCATAATTTGGCGACTGTTTTTGGACCTACCTTGCTACGCCCTGGGTTGAAACCGGACTTGAAGCAGCAAAAAGACCTCCTAGCGGCCGGCACCGTAGATGTAATGGCGCAGGCCGGCATCCTATACTGTTATCTGCAAGACCTCTTGAACAACTCGCAGAGAATATGCAGATGAGGGGTTGTGTGATTCCAAGAGAGAGAGTTGTAAGCCAAATTTATTTTATGTAGTATGTCCTGAGTATTTTTTTTGGATCTCTGTAAGTATTCGTTATCTCAGTTTCCAAGAAAAGGACATGCTTTGTATAACTTGTATACAATACCTGCGTGACTGTAATTATCATTTTTATTATTATAACTGTTTTGTGTAAAATACGACCAGAACGAAGTTCAAACTAGTGTGCGGATTTTTTATTGCAATTTATAATTGTTCCAATTTGCGCAGAGTGTTTATCCGGTAATTTTTCTTTGTGATCCATGAGTACACGTTTGTGATGTCATTTTATCGCAAATACATGTAGTGATTTCTGGTGCTTCGTAAATTTCAATTGAAAATTTAATTCAAATAACTTTCGTCATAGTATATATTGATTTAAAGTTTGTTTTTTGTGTTGTATTTTTATATTATAAACTTTGCTCTTTTGAATTGATACAAAACCTAACTTTTTTACCCTTGCCTCTCATGCCAAGGGTATATATCACCCTTCACCTGTACTTGAGCATATCATATGCACCTCTTCGGAGTATGTGTTTGTGGAGTTGCTTCTTCGGACTTTGGTCTGCAGGTGGCGTAGTTGTATAACCTACTGAATCAACTGCGGACAGAGCTTATGACTAGCTGGATTTAATTCTGTTTGTTAGGGATAATCAATTGGTTCACTTCCTCTGAAATGACCCTCCCAGTACTGATGAGAAGCTTATACTCCGAAACCGATCTATTGGTGGTTGCTCCAACAGAATTGAAGTAATTTCAGCTTCTCATATATGGGAAATTACTTGCAACCAATCTTTCGAATTGAAGAAGTTGCACAGGTGCCTGATGGATTCACTTCAGTTTTTTGTCTGGCATTGGTTTGATAGAACTGGACCACAGATAGACTGGTTTCGGAGCACTTGCTCCTCGTCAGTACTGGGAAGGTCATTTCAGACGGAGTGAAACGTCTTAGTATCTCGAACAAACAAAATTGATTCCAACAAGTCATACGCTTTATCTGAAGTTGATTCAGTAGAATGTTCACTGCACCACCTGCAGACATAGTACGGAAACAACTCCACAAACACATATTCCAAGGTGGGAGTCAGAATAATAAACATATTCCAGAGAGGTGCATATGACATGCCCAAGTTCAGGTGAAAAACCCCCTTACCTCTCATGTGTTTGTGGAGTTGTTTCCGGACTTTGTCTGCAGATGGCGCAGTGGACATTTTACTGAATCAACTGCAGCTAGAGCTTATGACTAGTTGGAATTAAATTCGTTAGTTGTTGTTTTTTTGTCTAGTATCTGCCACACGTACCTTCAAAATCGTAGGTTCACATGAAAGGCAAGGGTCAAGTTTTTTCGCCTGTACTTGAGCATATCATATTCACCTCCCAGGAATATATGTTTTATGTCATAATTATTTAATTTTCCTCCAATACACTACATGCATTTGATTTTTTTTAATTGTATTATCCCTATTTATTTCACTTGTCTTCCACATTGTGTCAAAAACGTTTTGTACTTATCTGGAAAACCAGGAAAGAGATAAGGTACTTTGTACTAAAAATTTATAGAATGCAGCTCAAAGCTGAATCGATCTAGTCACCTACGAAGTATTTGACTTGTGTTAGGCCCAGCCTATTGCAATCTACATTCCTCTTGATTTCCTGAGTACTTAAATTCATTTTTAATCTTTTTTTTTCAATTATCGATAAACACTTTGCAGGAAATATATTCGGTTATTTGAAATTTGTTTACCTATCGTTCTAAGTGTATCTTTAGAATTTTGTAAAGAGTGTCTTCGAGAATTTCTACAGAGGAACTTGTCAGCTATAATGAAATAGGAATACTATATAGTACAGCCATGTTGTATACTGAAAAAAGAAACCATAGTTGGACAAAGAATGCAAATTTCCATAACCGTGGAAAAACTGTTAAGGTTATTTTTCGAGTTTCTTGGTTATGGTCTGCATGTTTCTACATGTGCCTGATGTGTCTATAATTGTGGCAGACTGTTCAAAAGGCAATGATATAATGGGCGTAGTCCTCTAGTTGTTTGGTGGTCAGTTTGTAGTAGATAAGCTATGAACCCGTGATGGCTGCCGTCGGGAATTCTGAAGTGGGGGTTGGCGCTGGACTGAAATCACGTTATGGGACACGAATTTCATGACCTGTCATCTATCACATGAACTTCAGATTCGTTGGTAGATCTGAATCTGAAGTTCATCCTAGTACGACCTCCTCATGGCGATGATGACAGACTTGACAAATGACAGCTTCAACGTCACTCTTAATGTTGTGTTCCATGAAGGATAACATACCTTGTGTTCCATAGAAACTTCATGGTCACTTGGTTCCCTTCAAGCTTCTACCCGTCCTTACGATTACTTTACTGCTGTCATCTTGAATCCATATCTACAGATTGTCTACCCTCTGATTCTGTTAGCATAGATAGAGTATGCATAAAAAGGAGTCTGTTAAGGTAGAATCATATTCGATATTCGGGAATAAAACGAAACCTTCATTTTTTGAATACTTCAGCTATATTTTGTTTCTCTTGTAGAGCAAAATTAAGGTTTTTGGTCAATAAATCATTCCTGATTTTAGTATAGATGTATAATACTCCAAATAATGCAATAGATTTTATTCATTTTATAAGACAGTGAATCATCATATAGCTACCCTTACCACTGATAGAATGAAATCAGAGCCTCAACTGTTTAGTATGTGTTGCAAGACAACAAGAGCACTGCGTCCATTGTTTCATCTCTTTTGAGAATGTCTACTGTAGTTGTGGGTGAAACATTAGATGTAAAAACCTGCAGTTCGCGGCCAAAAGACCCGGAAAATTCTTTCAACTCAATAGGTGGACAGTTCTACACAGAGGATTTTGAAGTGTGATGAGGATGTAAAACTAAATCTTTTACAACTTAGATATTTTGACTGAGGGTTTAAAGTACAGGGTAAATTGAAAAAACCAGCTTGATTTTGATACTTATGAACACTTTTATGAATGCTCCTCAATCGAATAAATCAGTACCAACATGTATTTGTTTTTGCAGTAACTCAAGTGTTAAATTCTATGAATAGTTGTAACGTTCGAAATTTAGAGATTTTTATTCCCTAAAACTTGATCTATACAATTTTTTTAGATTTTCTACCCAACCCACCTATGCCTATTTTTTTTTTTTATATTTTCAGTGACAATTTGGTGGTACTATGACTCCTTTGGGTCATCTTTAATTTCATTTTTTCATCTTGCTACTTTCAAACTTTTCTCTTTTTTTTTCTATATAAACACACAAAATCTGTATTGTTTGATACAAATACATCACAATTTGTTAATGTTTCCAAAAGCCCAATAAGGTTACCAGTGACTTTTTCCTTTTTGGACATCTTTTGACCAAGTCAGATCCCCATGCATCATTAATTATTTCTCAAACAGTATAATCACAATTGGGGGTATACTTTGCAGAAAAATTTGTGTTTTTTCACAGGTGATAAGTTTGTACATTTATAACATAAAAATCTAGATTCTGATTTTTTCTACTATTTGGAGGAAACTTCAAACTGTCATATTACAATTTTTCCAGTTGTCATAGACTGTTGTTCAGATCCACTTTACTGTGATCTCACCCGACTCCTGAAAAAATCGTGAACCTTTTGGCCGGATAGCCCCAGTAGCCAGGCCACTACTTGAAGAAGAATCATTTTTACTCAGCTTCAACAGTATCGTAAAATTATGCATGAGCATCAGGCATTCAAAATTTACTGGTGGGATCCTTCAAACTCAGAAGATGCAAATATTTCTATGCTACCTTTATTGCATATAATTATATACTCTTCAGGTATATACACAAGTATACAGAATAAATATAAAATTGACATATGACAGTTACATATCTAAAACTGGTTGTTGCAGCCCATACTGCTCAGTACAGGAATTTTGAGGTTATATTTGTACAAGTTACAACCTGTAATTTTTGGCACAGGTATATCTCAATGTTATGAAACCTGAGAAATAGTTGAATTACAAAAAATGGTTTATTTGGGCTTATATCGCAAAAGGTAGGAGCTAGAGAATCAATATAAATTTGTGAATGAATTTTTCTTGAACATTCATAGGTTATAAAAACTAAAAACTTTTCAAGGCCAAGTCATTATTGCTAACCGATAAGAGTCTAAATCAGATTTCTAGATAGAATTTTTTGGGTGATTTACAAAAAAGTGAGAACTCTTCAAAAACATTTTTCAGTAGCTCTTTTAATATGGATATCATTGAATTTATTGTCATGAAGAAAAGAAGTGAAACTTCATGTTTTTTACCACTTCAAGTTTCAATTTTCTTTTCTTCATTATGATTTCTTACCACATAGTAACAGCTACATCCATCAATTTATTGAATTTATTGTCAGTTTGGAGGATTTATTTTGCTCGAATCAGTGGCATCTCTTATTTTTTATTATATTAGTATTTACGTGTACTGCCTCACATTTTAATAATGAAAAAGTGTTGATGTTATAGGGAGAGTCGGAAATAATTAATTTTATTTTGAAAGTTTATTAAAGTATCCAAGGCACATATTCCGTCGTTTTGAATAAATTCAGTATTTATTTGTATAGGATCGACTATGTTTTATTCCCTTAAGTAGGCCTGTAAGTATTCTGTAAATGTGTGAATGTATTTAGCATCTATTTATTACATATTGATGTCTTATTACATCGTAAGAACATGCATATATCTACCTATGTTAAAATTATATTTTATATACATTTGTAATTGATTGCAATATACATATTCAAGAATAAAAGACAGTTTTTTTTTCTTACTGCAGTTACAAGTAAGTTACCAAAATAATTTTTTATCCTACGAAAGGACTAGTTTCTATATGTAGTCGAAGCAAAATTTCCTAACCTTTCAACCTTCTGATGAATGTCTCACTTTCACAAAGATCTTAGTACTAGGTACTCGGTAAGTTTGTTTGCAAAACATTAGTTAATAATTCTGTTAACACCTCCTTAGACTTCTGAGGATTGCTCGCTTGTTGGAAAAATTCAATGAATAAATTTATAATGGTCTTTATTTATATCTCAAAGGATAGTTCACATACCGTAATTTGTTGTTTCCAGACTTATTAAGAATCAAATGAAAATTTGACTAAGAATATTGCATATTTTGAATTCCTTGGTGGGCTGATTACGCAATAAGTTAAAATAAAAAGTTGAAGATGTATAAAATAAGCTGTGAGGACTGTAACAAAAATATATTGGTCAGACTAAGCGAGCCAATAAAACTAGATTCAAAGGACACGCAGTACATTTCCGATTTCGAAGACCAGATAAATCTAATATCGCTCAATACGCCCTGGAGAAAACAGCTGTAGAAATGAAACTGTCTGAAATTGTGGAGATCGGTATGCTTTCGAAACCTTGGAAATATCAAACTGTAGCGTGTAGTGGAAGCACGACAGGTTATAATACCAACCGTCAAGAATTTACTCACCTGTATCAATTTACAGATAACTTCCGAAGGAATGTTTCACAAAAAAAGCAAGCCTGGAAAATGTTACAATTTTATTTGACTACAAGGCTAAACCTTAGATATTCAGTTGATAATAATGAAAATATGGCACTTCTTTAGAAGAAGTTCTCTGCAACAAATACAAAATTAACATAAAATAACATCTAATATGTCCATGACATTAAAAATATAGGTAACGAATAAACTTAAAATTAGGGTAGTTCACAATTAGCACCTTATCATGTAATCACTTTAAAATAAAAAATGTCTTTGGTTGATTTTGTTTATGTCAGAACTCGAGACAATTCAATATTAAATCAAGACATTTTGTAGACTGCCTATATTGCAAGAGTAAGTCCCTGGAAATTGGATTTTGACGATTTCCAGAGAAATACAATAATTCCTCATACAAATGGATTGATAAGTAAAATTCTGGGTTCCTGGTGAAATTCTTGATGAGGAAAAAAGTTGAATATGTCAAATGTTAAAAAAAGTTGAAATTATCGAAGGTGTGACTCAAACAATTATTCAAAAATCAATTTATTTCATCACCAATATAAAACAGCTCTGATTATTTTTTTATTAATCCTAGAGCAGGGTGATTTCATGTATTACAAACACCTGTCTGACAGGATTCTCAAATTTGAAGCGCTTTTCTTCATTTGAATCAAGTCTCCACGTCAAATATAAACTCCATCCTCATCCAAGAAGAACAATCATTAACGCCTTAATAGACTCCAAACCCATGGAGGATGATTTGAGACTTTTTAAAAATGTATGATTTTCATAATCCTGAAATAGAAAATGAATTTCAGGCCTATGCCGAAGTTTGAAGGTGATGCAGATGAAAATCTAAGTAAAGTGCATGTTCACCGCCTAGAACGGACGACATGAAGCTGAAAAATCGATTTCTAATCGCACATTTTTGAGAGGCATGGGTTTGCAGTCCATTAAGAAATGATCCCACAAATAAAACAACCTTAGCGTTAGTCCAGACTATCACAATCACGATCACAAAATTTTATACCATTATCAGACCACTCAGGTGATGCGTCGGTATAACAAGCACAATTTGTTCAATTAATAAAATAATGTCAGTGGAAAGCTAATCTGTTTCAACAAATCAAAGAAACTTGTAGGAGATCATAATTTTTAAACGAAAATCCAACATTGATTCGTAAGACCAATTGAGATGCAATACAATACCCGACAGCTCAATTATTGATTTACAAGAATCATTTTTGATTACTGGTAACATCTACGTTCTACGAAACTTGCATAAAAAGCGAGGCTAATGCAAGGTTTGAGCTAGTTCCGCATGAACAACAACCAAACACATAAACCATTCAATAGTATCAAAAATATATCTTTTTGAAAAAATCAAACTCATCACAAAAATAAACAGAGTTTAACTGTGATTAGACATGTTGATAGTATATTATAATAATCTCCACTGTGTAATTCTTGTTATCTTTTAAAGTCAATTTTGGAATTATAGCCATTTGGGCATTTTCAATAACAATAGCTTGTAAAAAATTGACCAACTGTTAACATGGATTCTCTGGTATAAAAACTTTTGAATCATTTTTTTCAACATCCACAACGAAGTTGACATCAAAAACCAGGAGAAACGATTCACGAACCAAGATGGAGATGGCGTAACAATCTATCGGCTTGAATGCCCAGTTTTTTCAAGAGAAATTCACAAAATGAAAAAAATCAAGATTTCGAAAGTAGCAAATATCGGTTGCTGAGAAAGAAATAAAAGATATTTATTGCTAGGTCGTCAACTTTCCCCCGAAACTTTTATTCCAGCCACAAGAAATTTGTTGAGAAGTTTAATGTCAAGCCCGCTTGAAACATTAATAGTATATTTGTTAAAAACGCCCCTTGTCACAGATACACGCCTCATCAACAATCAGCCAGTTTTTCCTTTCAACAACACAGTTCCTTCATAGATTTTTCTGACAGCTGAACATGGAAATAAAAAGGGCGAAGTGTTACGCCTAATGGTAATGGTGTAAACATCATTAGCTACAGTCTAAAATAGGTGAATGTAGGTCATATGAAAGTGCGAGAGGTAGACTGAAAGTAAACAAAAAGAAACCCTAGTCAAACTTATAGTTTTTCTCTAGCAGTGGATTGAGAATTACTAGAAATTAAAAGTATTCACAAATTCAAAACAAACAGTTCTTATTTCTTTTTGTACTTAATTTTTTGAACAAGAATTCACTGGCGATGACTTCACAGTAACGATGGTTATAAATAACAGCCACAGAAAATATTTATATATGAAGTTATTGATTCAATCTGTTGAAAAAAATCAATTACAATGCTTTACCGATTTCCTACTTTTCCACCAACGCCCCAACATTTGTCTCATTTTAGACTGTAGCCTGAATGAACGAAAAAAATCTTACAATTTGAAACCTGATGTTACAATTCTTATTCGGTAACTCTTTACACGGTTTCTCTCTTTAGGATCCTACAATATACACATTTTTTTCGTCGATTGTTTCAATGTATCCACTTCAAGAATATATTTACATATTTACACAAGCCCTTTCCAAAAATTACGCTAATCACCAGGATGTTCCGGACAGGATCTGTTTACATCGAACCACTGGTCTATACACCTGAAAAAAAAAATTTTTTTTATGTTGGTACATTCGTCTCGAACATATGCTCACAGATCAAACTGTTTAACATGTTTAGTTTGTTGGTGAGAGGCATAAAAGTTAGAAGTATTTTGGGTGTACGGCGATTTTCTGCTATCGAAAGAAATGGATCAAAAAATTTGGCTCAAAGCTTGTGTGAAAAATGGAATTAAGTACCCAAAAATACTTGAAATGTTGACAGTGGCATACGGTGATTGTAATCTGAGTCAGACAAATGTTTACAAGTGGGAGTTCCCCAAGGCTCAGTTCTCGGACCTCTTTTATTCATAATCTATATAAATGATCTCTTTTCCTTCACGTCACCTCATAATTGTTTTGCTTTCGCCGATGATACTACTCTTACGACATCCGGAAAAATCAAGGGTAATTTGGTGCGCGATATAAATCAAATTCAAAAGAATGCTGACGTATGGTTCAAAAGAAATAATCTAATGTTGAACGAAAATAAAATTCAACACATCATTTTTACATCAAACACCTCTTGGGATGAAGGACACATACATCGAGACGATAATTTGAACTGGTTAGAGCACATTGAACAACTTAGCATCAAACTGTCGAAATATACATTTCTTCTTCGGAAATTGAAAGATATAATCTCTCAACAGGCGCTATTATCAGCTAACTACGCTTTTTTCCATTCTAATTCCATAGTACTAACGCAAATAGGATATTTATGTTGCAAAAAAAGACCGTAAGGATATTATCTGGGGCTGGTTTCTTAGACTCCTGTAGACCTCATTTCCTTTCGATGAAAATAATGACAGTATAGTATTTCCAATACCAATTGGAACAGCACAGAGAAGGAATTCCCGCCTCGACATAGGGGTCGGCATATTTTTTTTTTCAGTGGTAGTTTTTCAGTTACTTATTCTTACAATCATAGCAATTGATCACCACATTAAAAAGTTATCTCAACTGAATTTTTCCACCATGGGTAATTGTGAGAAACTTCGAAATTTAAGGTAGTTGATTTCCTAGTTGAAAACTCTAAAATACAATGAAAACACAAATAATCACACCGAATTCTCGTCAAACATGTTTAGAAAATAATAGAGGCCAACAAAATTGCTAGAAAAATCAAAATTCTTCTTCGCTATATTTGGATGAGGTGGAATCATCATCGGGTTGAATAACTATCGGATTTATGGAACTTTGAACATAATATGTGTTCTCTTCTTTTATAACGTGGGCCACACAGTTCTTCTACTCATCACTATTACCTACTTCATTCACCACTCGCTTTATATTGTCAAGCACTACAGCATTCAAAGTCGGTGACTGATTACATTTCCGCAATGAAAAATCAATTAGGATAATCATCATTTAACAAACAAAGTCCACATCGGACCAAAAAACTTTAGGTATATACACAGCTAACCCTTGTCTTCAGATTCAGTATCAATTTGCTTCTTCTGAAGATGCTAACCTTGTTAGCCTACAAGCTAACAGGCGTACAAGCCTGAATTTTTTCTCTCTAATCATGTTATAATGAAAATGTCCGCCAGCGAGGTACTTCTGCTGGACGAACAAGATTCATCTGCAAGAATTTCCTCCGTGAGCAAGCTTGCACAAATATCTGTCAGATCCTACTGTATAACGACGGAAAAGGTGAATGTTTCGAATTTTCATTTGAAATTTATTTTCTTGACAAACTTGCCAGTTAAAAGCATCGACTAGTGTGGTGGGTGCCCTGCTAAGGCATCTCAGAATGAAGCGGAAGCTGTAAGACGTTATTACTTCATAATGAGAATAATTCTTCTGGCTCAAGGACTAGCACTATTCGAAAACGATTGATTAATAGAACGTTGCAGGTGATATCAGTTCCATCTCAGCCGGTCATCAATCAATACTAAATTAGCTACAATATACCCGTGAGTGCTGGTATCTCTAATGACCACTTCGAAATTGATGTTTACATCGATTAATGAATAATGTGATCGTGTCAACAAACAGTAGGTATATTCTTTGACGTCCGAAACTATCCTTCACGATCAGAGGTAATTTGAATTGGTTGAAAGTCAAACGGACGTAATCTGTAGGGTATGGAGGCTGAGTGCAGGCCCACAGCACTAAAGCCACATGTGACCCATTGTACATCCTCCCAAGAAGTTGTCCTCCTAGGTCATCGTCCATCCTGTCCTTTCCAGGAAGGTGGACAGGTCTCTGGGAGACGTCTCCTTTATATCGGCAGGTGTAGGCCCAGACGCGCCGAACACATACTCTCTTATTAACGATAATTCCGGATACTCGCATAGGACATGCCTGTCAGTCTCATCTTCCTGTTCACACATTCTGCATAGAGGTGTATCCACTAGCCCCATATTGTGGAGGTGTTTCCTCTGACACTGATCAGTCAGAAATCCTACTGTTAAGCGTAGATTTTTCCTGGTCATCGTCAGATATTTCTTCGGCGCCAGCTTCCCAGGGTCGCCCAAGGTGATCCTGGTAAGATTACATCCTTTGATTTCATCCCATCTCTTTAGGGATTGAGCATGAATGTGACGTTTGGCTAGTTCCGCCAGTGTCAGGTGTCACTGAATCCTAAAATTCTCATTCCAGCCGCTTCCTTGGCTAAAAAGTCGGCAATGCGATTACCTTTACTCCTGTCGTGTCCTTTAACCCACCTCAGGATAACGTTATTATCTACCGTTATGCACCTCTTCGGAGTATGTGTTTGTGGAGTTGCTTCTTCGGACTTTGGTCTGCAGGTGGCGTAGTTGTATAACCTACTGAATCAACTGCGGATAGAGCTAATGACTAGCTGGATTTAATTTTGTTTGTTAGGGATAATCAATTGGTTCACTTCCTCTGAAATGACCCTCCCAGTACTGATGAGAAGCTAATACTCCGAAACCGATCTATTGGTGGTCGCTCCAACGGAATTGAAGTAATTTCAGCTTCTCATATATGGGAAATTACTTGCAACCAATCTTTCGAATTGAAGAAGTTGCACAGGTGCCTGATGGATTCACTTCAGTTTTTTGTCCGGCATTGGTTTGATAGAACTGAACCACAGATAGACTGGTTTCGGAGCACTTCCTCCTCGTCAGTACGGGGAAGGTCATTTCAGACAAAATTGATTCCAACAAGTCATACGCTTTATCTGAAGTTGATTCAGTAGAATGTTCACTGAGCCACCTGCAGACATAGTACGGAAACAACTCCACAAACACATATTCCAAGGTGGGAGTCAGAATAAACATATTCCAGTGAGGTGCATATGACATGCCCAAGTTCAGGAGAAAAACCCCTTACCCCTTACCTCTCATGTGTTTGTGGAGTTGTTTCCGGACTTTGTCTGCAGATGGCGCAGTGGACATCCTACTGAATCAACTGCAGCTAGAGCTTATGACTAGTTGGAATTAAATTCGTTAGTTGTTGTTGTGTTCCCACCCCAGCCAGGTAGGGGTATCCCGTGAAGGGCGGCACTGATGTCTAAGGACTTCATGCCGCCATACAAATCAGCCATGAACCCATTGGTCCTTCCTGAGACCAATAACCAGCCGAAAGGGTAGGGGAGCTGGACTCCAAACCTGAAGGAAACGAGGATGACCTTCCACCGTTAGTTGTTGGTTTTTTGTCTGGTATCTGTCACACGTACCTTCAAAATCGTAAGTTCACATGAAAGGCAAGGGTCAAGTTTTTTCGCCTGTACTTGAGCATATCATATTCACCTCCCAGGAATATATGTTTTATGTCATAATTATTTAATTTTCCTCCAATACACTACATGCATTTGATTTTTTTTAATTGTATTATCCCTATTTATTTCACTTGTCTTCCACATTGTGTCAAAAACGTTTTGTACTTATCTGGAAAACCAGGAAAGAGATAAGGTACTTTGTACTAAAAATTTATAGAATGCAGCTCAAAGCTTATTATTTCCTCTAGTAGTATAGTTATGTATTTGGGAGTTAATCGTAGTNAAAAATACACATTCGAGTTGAAATGGTTCATACCCGTTGAGGATATAATAATGCTCGAAGAAACAACAGCAAACCTGCATGAAATTGCGTCTTCAAACATAGTCTCTCTGAAGTCCCAGGCTTCGAACGTCAGGGATCAGTTGAGGCAAGAAGATAAAGCAAACGAAGTGAGTTTTCTGTCTTATGCACTTTTTTTACCATTGAATGTTATTGTTGAACTTTCATTTCAGAATCGATCGAAACAGTCGAGGGGTTCAGACAAATTCAGAAAAAGACTGATAGAACTAGAGAGCCAACTTGTGCTGGTATCGCCAAATTTAGTGTATAGAATCAAAAACAAAATGACTGGGCGGACTTATATGTTCTTCTTGTCATCCGATTTTGAGCGCACGCAGTGGATCGAGGCCATTCAAACACTGCAGAAGACTGAGAGAACTGGTAAAATGAACGCTCCTCCTATCAGCGAACTCCAGACTTGGATAACTGCGTGCCGGAGCTACCTGAAGACGAACATGGGGTCTTACCTGTTGAGAAGTGGCAACGACGAGAGACTGCTCGTGGGAGACTTGCATGTGTTTGTGTATGATTTGTGTGGATTGGACTATTCTTGTGGTAAGTTTTTCGAATTTATTCGTTGTGTGTTGAAACATTTCGTTCAGTCATAGTTTCCTGTATTTCTTGAATACAGTATTGAAGGCAGTCATTGGTGAATGAAAATTTTATTTTGAATAGTCGAGTTCCTTTCTTTCCTGTTTTTTACCTGAACGAATATCATTTTTAAAAGTTATTTAGAAACATTTCAGTTGGCATTTCTCAAAAGTTTTTATATAACCATCGGCTATCACTGATGATTTCCACTCTCCTTGCCTATTATTGCAAGTTATGTTTGTATTTGACATTTTATTTTATCTAGATAAAGTTTTAGCAAATATTTTTATGCTATTGTAACATAGCAATAAAACGTTTGTCAACAGGAACTTGTTTTCTTAGGACAGTAAACGTCTTTCATGTTTAATGTTGTGGGACTTATTGCTGTGTTGGTGGATTTTCCTTTAGATTGCTTCCCTCTTAATTCATTACCTATATTCCACCCTTCTTTCATTTAATTATCAGCATTATCAAATCTATTTCGATAATTTTTTTTTGCAGCACTTATCACATTTCTATAAGGTGTGGGAATTAGGTTTTTTCATGAAAAGTACCAAAAGTTTACTGTCAAAAAAGTTAGGACAATTTGAAATAAATAATGACAGCGTACGCAGTGCCCTCTAGATGTTACATGAAAATTAATACGAAATCATGATTTCCCACGTCGAAAAACCCCGGGTACCGAATTTTGTGCAAATAACTTATTTTTTGCAAGACTTATTTTCAAAAAGCGAACAAAAAAATTCAATTTCAACACCCCGTATCTCCAAAACGAAGCATTTTCGAACACAAGTTCATATAGACTTTTTTTCTTAATATTGTCTCAGGAATACGTCACTTGAATATTTTAACGTACTTATGTTACACCCTGTATTTAAACCTAGCAAGATGCATAGAAACCCCGGTATAGTCACCGATTCGATTTTGTTTTGTCAATAGCTGATTAAAGAAATCAACCCAACTTTGTAGAAAGATGGTACAGAGTGGGCCAAATTGAACACTTTCAAAGCGAAACTCCTGTTTTCAAAGTAAATAGATGCAAACTGATGGCTGTTTCTGAGGGTCGAATTTTATGAGAAACTTAATAGGAAAACCGCATATCAATGTGTTTGAAAATGAAAAAATCTGTTTAAAATCTGTTTTCCCGTTAACCAGCTCTCGCACCCCTACGAACCAGCCGTCAGAAGTCGAAACTTGTGTGAGCTAAGGATTAACGAGGTCTTACCTTTTAACGTGTCATTTCTAACACGAAATACTTATGAGTAATAAAAATTCACCCTTACTAGAGTGGTACGTACGAACCTTTGACCAATTTCATATTTCTAAAACATAAATGATAAACCAAAAAAGTAACTTACGTCTTATGATATATACAGAGGCAAGGAAGGCGCGCAATCACATCTCCTTTACATAATTCTTCTAAACATATAACACATTCTCCTTTGTCGTCAGTCAGTACGTCTTCTGCAAAAAAAAATTTGTTTTTTGATAGGCGTCAGTCCATTCAACCTACTGTGTAGGTATATTCGAAACTGGCTTGAACGTTTGAATTTCATTTCTTTAGATTTTAATAATTTTGATGTTCGAATTTTTTTGGGCTATGACTGTATATAAGTATCACACGGAATGTGTTTTTTCTCTACGTAAATGCCTTACACAACTTGTTGAAAACCGTGACTCAGCCATGTCATCACAAATTCCAATTTGTTAAGATTAAGATAATAAACAATGAATGAGATTCAACATTTATTGCTATTATTTGGTTTGAAGTACCCTGAATTACGTACAACGTGTGAAGATAACGCATTCAACAGATATTTGGAGAACTAAAGATTTATATTCGAACGTTTATACGATATGATATAAACAAGTAGAAATTCAAATAGAAACGTGTATAATCGAACTTAAATAGATACTAAACCAACTCAAAAGTTCGATATATATCAATGTTCTCTCTTCAAAGGCCAATCCAGATTTTAGTTCTGTGATTTCAATACAAAACACAGAAAAATGGCATAGAATTGTCCAAAATGTCAATACAAATTAAACGACCGTATGTAAAAATGACACATCTTCTAAATGTTTTTGTTATCAATGAGTTATTTTTTTAATTAAAATCACAAGGAATTTACCAAAATTATAAAAGTAAAGTATACTATTTGAATTTGATATTGTGAAAACTAACTCTAAAATGATTGTCTATGTGTCATCTAATAAACTGATACTGAAAAATTCATATAACTTCAAATGTTTGCAAATAAGGTAAAATCCCATTGTATTTGGTAATTCAATCAAAATTTATTGAAGCTCTTAAAAAACACCCTACATACCATATTCTGACCCCTCATATCACTTAATATGAAATAGAGGAATGCAGAATCAAAGTAATTAAGAAGGATTTTGTTAAAATTTGATATTCGTTGTTTTCACTGCTCTTGATTCAAAACCTACTATCTTGAAAAATTTTCTTTCCTTAACTTAGGCCACTTTGATTTTTTCCCTTTGTAGATTAACACTTATACTATCAACATACCTGTTTTAGAGATAAATACTCCCAATTCGAAAGAATCACAGAGTGGACAAGACCTAGCATGAACATTGCCATAAGAAACCACAATTTTATACATTCAAATATCAGTTGTTACATTTGATTATTTGTAGTGACCTTTTTACAATGACTAAGCAAACTAAAAAATATTGTTCAGTGAGCAAGTGTGATAACTATGAGGAAAGAAATATTCTGGCTTTCTACTTCTCGAATTTCATAAAAAATAAAACATTCTTGAACATACATGGTTTTTCAGAATTCCCCATAATACCAAAGTAACGAACTCAGAATAGGTAAACCGATTATTGACTGTACTCGTATGTAGTTTTGAAGAGAACACTTCAACTTATAAGAACAACATATTTTTTGTTTTCCCCTTATTTTTGCGCTGACCTCAGCGCCACCTTGTGGTAATGATCCCTTCGAATTATTATTTGTTTTCTATTACTGGTGTCTATAGACAGCAAAAATCTCCATAATCGCAAAGTCGGCATATCACAACATTACATTCATATCAAATATTTATTAGAAATATAATAGCTTGGCAGTCAAATTTTGAATGAAACAATATCTAAAGTGTATTCCACCATCGCCCATAGTATATGCAGACAAACAACGGTTAACTGGTTGGTGGATCGCGATCTGTGCTGTCAAAAATATGGAACTGCAATGTATCTTGTACCGACAAGAAATGCGTAAAGTATTCATAACAGTCGTTTATTGCCTACAGACGCTTTTTCCTTATCTTATTGTATCAACTGTCATTCAGTTTGGCGAGACAAGGAATGAATGTCAACTTACCGTTGTATGATAGCCGCGGTTTGGTTAGGCACATAACCAAATGACATTCTATGTCATCAGGAATCACAAATTTACTGCAAACTGGGCACTTGATTCCTGCAACAAAAACATATATTTCAACAAATTTCTTATTTAGATATTTCATATACAGGGTGTTTCCTAAATGCGGTAAAAAAATGTTCAGGAGTTAATTTTATGAAAAAAATGGCGAAGAGACACATTGTCTCCAAGACATATGGTGTTGAAGTTTTCTACAAATTTCACTAGCCAACAAATAAAAAAAAAGTTGTGGCTAATATTATAATGG